CTCCCACTGGCCGCGCTCGGACGCGCAGCCTGCCTCTTCCGCTGCAGCCTGCCAGTGAGAGAAAACCCCAGTGACCTCTGTACCAGCATGGCCAACACTGCGACAACAGCACTGACAGGAATCAGCTGTGTGGAGACCTACACTGTGGAAATAAGCCATAACTTCAAATTGCTGTTGCATCAAATGACTACGAGACATGGAAACTGAGGAAGACAAATTAAACAACTAAAAATGCATATTGTGGTCATTATTTCCGAGCAGGCTGTCTCACGCTGCAGAGAATCAGTGGTCCGTCTCTTTGTCAAAACTGCCCTCCTCTTCCAGGCTGAAACTGCTTATAACATCGTGTAATCCCTATTAAATGTCCAGGGATAATTGCCTTAATAATACGTTATTAAAGGAGAAACCACAGAGTGGCAGCAATTAGAGAAAGCAGGAGCCTTCTGGAGGGCAGTGAGTGGTGAAGGCTAATGGAGCTCTGGGCAATGGGACACACCAGGGCAGGAGCTGGGCAAACCACTGCTCAGACCTCGCACTCTCTCCCTCTGATCGTGGAGCAAGCAGGCGAAAGTGGCTGAGCCTAATTCATCTGCTTGTCCTGTGTGTGCGCGAATCCAGCTCAGACACACTCACTCGGATCATTTTCTCCTACAGTTACTTTTTACCATTAGGATTTGATATTGGTGGGCCAGTTCATCCATCTAGCCTTGCAGATGCCCAGGAGCAACTGAGCAACTTGTGGTGAGTGTGGAGCTGCAGCCAGCATTAACTCTTTGATTGTTTGTATTTCTCATTTTATACCACCCTATGTGGCATTGCCACTCCACAGTGCCACAGTGCCCCACAGGAGAGTTAGCACTGACAGGAGGAGTGGTGCATCTCTCACTGATGTCACTGCAACACTGCAGATGCCCATGAAGCTGTAAGTATATGGTTTCATCCAGATCACAACTTTCCATTAAGATAAACCTAGTGGGCCAGTTGAGTAATTCACAAGCACCAGAATTCCTTTTAACAGTAATTTCTAACGTCCTTCATTTCTGAATCTTTATGATGACAGATATTCACCAAACCAGCAGAGATCACATTCCCATTTACTTTTCAACTGCCATATGTTTGTCTTTTGTGTCTGTTGTGGTTCTGGGTGGTGGGAGTGGTGGGGGGGGGCTGCACAAAAACATTCAATTGATTTTGAATGAGCATGACAGGACCACAAAGTCTCACAGAAAAGAGATCCTTTCATCAAGTCGATGGAATGTTTTTGCAGTGTATCAAAGACCACCAGTCAAAATGTTGATGATAATTCACTTTTCACGTGTCCTAAAAAGCCACAGTCTTTTCAGCAGTTAAAAGGGAAATCTGAAAACCCAAAACATGTGGTGAGCCTTTGTCCAGGGAGCTTTTGTTATGTTTGGATTTTTTCACAGTGCTACTTAACAGAGCTCTGTGCAGAGCCTACTGTGGCTCAGCCACTGTAAACATCACTGTGCCTCACCTGCAGGCAGTCTCATACTTAGCATCTGTCTGTCAGTCCCATTACCACACACAGGCTCCAACTAGGAATACTGAAACAACAGTAACTTTGTGTTTGCTACATACAGACTCTCAGGGCCAAAATGATGATCATCCAGTTATGGGCTGATAATCTAGCCCGATGTTGTCCCCTGTAAAAGATTATTGTGCTTTCTCAAAATCCTGCTGGTCTAATGCCTGAATTTTGGCTGTTCACCTGCCAGTGTCCAATCCTCTGACTGTTCTGCCTGTGGCACCCGTGGGTGTGGTTTTGTGTCTGTAAGTGTGATCATCGCGGTTCCACACGGGGGGGTCGTGCCCCCCGCCACCCGTTCCGTCCCCCACACCTGGGGCGCAACAGGGCACCAACCGCATGAGCTAAAGGAGACCTCCCCCAGCCCAGGCAGCTGAGGTCCCTGCTACGCGCAGTGAGGGCGCTGACGTCACCACACGAGCTCCGCTACATCAGCAAGCGGGGTGTCTGTGAGCGGGGCTGTGTCAGTACCTGCGCCAGGTGTTTCCGGTGCTGCGCACTCAGGAGGGTGAGCAGGAAGCTCAGGGTCGAGGCCTCTCTCTCCGCGATTTCGCTCAGGCCCCTCGCCGCCCCCATGGCGTTCCTCTGCCACGCCTCTACCACCCCCCATCGAGCCTGGGCCACCGCCTCCCGGGGCTCCTGCCCAAAAATCTGGCGCAGGTGCGCGCCTGCTGCTTCCAAGGCACCTGAGAGAGAGAAGTCATGTACCATTACTGCGGAGGGGACAGCCAGTACTGCTGTACTGGACTTGAGAATTTAAAACCACAATGACATCTGAAGCCTAGAGAGAGAAACTGCTGCAGGTACACCTTAGTAGGCTGAAAAGACCCAATACTACCCTGTTGCACCAAAGAGAGAATCTGAAAGCAGCTTCTGGAGCAACAGCTCAGAAAATGTAACCATCAGAGGAAGAGAAAGACCTGCTCTCTGCTTCCACAGCGCAGAGCAGGAACGGGGCTGCTCAGACAAGCTCAAGGGCCAGTTGCTCCCCTCCTCTCACCTCTGGCCAGTAGAGTATCGATATAGAGCAGGTGCCACCTGGGGTCTCGGCAGTCGATCTTCATCAGGGCTCCTCCAATCAGAAACGCCTCTTTCAGAAGCTCCTCCCTGCAGGGAACCGCATTGGCTGCTGTGATTTCGGAGAGCCCCGTCCTACAGTGCTGGTGCAGCCAATCACAGATGAGCTTACTGGCCTTCTCTTTCAGAGACAGGATGTCTTGCGTGACAGCTGCAGCGTCCACTTGGAGTGCTGCAAGTATGTCCTGAGTGCACTCCTGGAACAAACAGAAGGGTCCCCTAAAATGAATACTCTCTTTATTAATTTCCACCATATTCATTTTCTACCTTTATAATCTTCTGTCTCTTAGTACAGGTACAGGGCATCCTGAAAACTGGTGAATGTCCCCTGATCTCTCCATCTATCCCAATCATCTCTGAGAACTGTTGTTGGTGTGCTGTGGAACTAGGAGCACAGGAACCTCATGTGGGTGATAAATGCTTGACCAGACAGGGCACAGGTAAGTGTTGCTATTCATTTTGGCACCAAGCTGATCAAGCTGGTGTTCCGGCTGGCTTCTCCACCCTAAATCTCTAACTATGGCTTAGTTGCCTAGCTCAAAACACACATCCCAGCAATGCATTTTCTGGAGAGATAGAGGACTCTATAGACAGATCAGCAAAGCCCTGTCTGCTTAGCTCCCTTTTTCATGCAAGAGAAAACAGAGCACAAACATTCAAACAATAGCAATCATGTTAAAAATAGGCAGTGGTGATGTGCTGGTGTGTTATTTAGATGGCAATTGGTCAGGTGTCGCAGTTTTGAGTACCAGGCCGCGTCATTTAAAAGTTCATTATCCCTTATTGTCCTGCCTGCTCTTCCCTCAAGCTGTTAGCTTGTTTTCGCTGTGATTCTCCCTACCCTGTAATTACTGCTGTCAGCGCAGCTATGTGCAGGAAGAAGAGGATGGAGGGTCCTGTATTTAGCAAGTTCCTTTCTTTTTGAAGCACAAAACACACACATATGAAGCACCTGATTTACAATTGCTCTTAAAACTGGGTGAATTAAATTGAAAATAATTAATTACGGTTTCCTGGCGTCTCCATCTTGAGAGCTCCTGAGACTCTGTTATTATAATAGTTAAAGGTATTGCATTATTATTACTTTATTTGGATGCCCTTTTTATCCAAAGCAGACCCATTCATGCTGTTAGTGTATTTTAGTGCTGCAATTTGGAAATGTACTTAGCTAAAGATAAGATGACAACAGCAGTCAGCCCACAGCTTTAACCACTCCTCCACACTGTATTTATAAACTCATTTAGGGTGTCATCTTGTATATCATACACCATGCCCAATAAATACAGGACTGTACAGGCACACTAGTGCGGAGTCAGTATGGAAGTGTAATTTGTGGAAACAAGGTATCTGTCATTGTCTCTGCATGTCTTTGTGTGCTGGTGTAGCCCATCAGGCCACAGCTTTTCCTGCTTTCCATAGCATGAAAGAGACGTTAAGTCCCTGGATTTGATCCCAGTCTATCACAGGCTTGGCCTTCAGATCACTCTGATCCATGGTGAGGCAGTTTACACAGGGCAATGGGTACCTGTAGAGGTAACTCAAACTCACAATCCCTCTGGTCAGGAGCCCAAAGCCTAACCACTGCTCCGTACACCAAACACTCTCTTTTTCCATCTTTGTCTGCATTTATGTACCTCTCTTTTACTCTGTATGTCTTTTGTCTAATTCACCCAGCCCTCCTGTGTCAATACACTTCTTTTTGTAGCTTCTGTCATCACCTCTGGTCCATTCTCAGACAGAAAGGGCTGTATGCCTCTATAGTGTAAAGAGCAAAGTGTATTGTGTGCAGCATCCCCTGGCATGCCAGATACACACACCTCTGCCCCTCTCCCCCACTCCCTCAGTCCCTATCCTGGTCCTCTGAAGTGAACATTCAGCAGGTGTCAGCACTCTACTGTATCCCCATGCGTGTATTGAGCCTGTGCTGGAGAACAGACCCTAATCTGCCTTATCTTAATGACATCCCTGTACTATCAGCACAGCGGGAAGGAGAATGGAACCACAGAGGCACTTTATCAGTGCTGACACTCCCTTTCAATAATATTCTCCCATTCGACTCTCATTCTCTCTCTCTCTGTCCACCCTGCCGCTCCAGTGCCTTTTTCAGCACTGGCTTCAACTAATCTCTTTGTCTATTAGAGCCCCATTAATCATGTTTCCCTGTGGTTTCCAGTTCCAGTGTTTTTGGGATGAGATGTGTCACCTTCTGCTGGTTCAGGGTGAGGTAGGTGAAGCCCCGCCCACACAGGGCCTGCACATGCTCAGATCGCTCCTTGAGGATGGCGTTGAAGTCAAAGATGGCAGTCTTGCGCTGACCCAGGAGGGCATAGCATCGTGCCCGTGCCAAGAGGGAGTCCTCAGCCACACCGCCTGCCCTCAGTGAGCAATAACGCCAAAAACATAAGAGGAATGACAACAGGTCTTAGTGCAGGGTTTCTCAATACTAACATACCAGGGTCTTCATCCAACAAACATTAAGTCATTTAGTTTTGCAATCTATGCTCATATAAACTCTCATACACTGCTTGCTAAAATATTATATATATATATTAGAAATCTAGAACATGGTTAAGCTTTATGTATAATGCAATGCATTGATGACTTTGAAAGAAGTGCTGGCAGCATCAAAACCTTGACTTGCAGGTGGGGAAACAGGCCTGAGGGTGGAAAAGTCTGACAGAAGCTTGTGTACAGTTGGGCACATTTGACAGTGCTGCTCCTGAGTCATGTGTTATCACTTGTAACCTCAAGAGTGCTACCAAGAAAACCTCAGGCTCTGAGCACAATGTTCTCTATGAATGCCTGTCCATTCATGGTTAGGAGGTCAGGTCATACACTGAGTAACAGAAAGAGCAGAACTTCAGAGCTCAATACGAGTTCACTTTTTCTCAAACTCTTGCCCTAGTAGCACACGTATACATATCACTCCATAGCAGTCAAACCCCTAACATTTACTTCCAGATCCTCATGCATTCAAAACAAAAATAGCAATAGGCACGTATTCTACTCTGATAGCAATGGATAATGCACACTGAGCTAGGTTAAAAAACACTCCCACAGAACATGTTTATTACTCCAGCATTACAGAGACAGGGCGTTTTGTGTAATTGTCTAAGCAAACATTAAGCACTGATTTATTCCTGAGCTTTTAGCTGTTCTGCACATATATATATATATTCTGCTCCGTTTTTCAATTTTAAAAAAAGAAATAATGAGAACAGAAATTCCAGGAACTGTAAAGCAATTTGAGCTGATTTACTTTCTGGATAAATAAATGCGCTGTGGAAAAAAAAAGGTTTTTGGAAAGACTGTGAAAGGAGATTTGTCTTCAATTCTCTTCACACTTCCTCGTGTTACTCAAGATCCAAATAAACAACCTTAACTTTAGGCAGTCAATCATAAGACACTCACTCATCCCAGTAAAAAGACAGTTCAGAAAAACAAAAAGAGAAGTAACTATGGATACTTCCTTTTCCAAAGAAAAAAACAGTGGGGAATTCTAGCATATACTGTACAAGGGAGGCCAAAATAAAACATTTAAAACATCAATTTACACTGTGGTAAGGTTCTCTGGACAGTTACAGTATGTTAACTGTTTAGGCAGCTTGACAAGTAGTTCACTATCAAAGTACCACAGATGGTTCTAATTCTGTTTGCAATGTATTGAATTTAGATTGATTTCCCTATTTTGTGTCTCTCAGTAGAGGAAGTCACAGTCCCTCCATTGTAGCGGCCTCCTATCTTTTGCTTTAACACAGATGTTCTGGGGTCTGCGCCAGACCTCAACTTAGGCAGTGTCAGCAGGATGTCTGTGGTCGTCCACTAAGTGTTTGAATTGGGCTCTGTGGTTTGGTCATACGATTCACATCAATTCCACTAGGTCTCTAACCCCTCTAGCACTACTATTTTAACGATGCCTTGAGGTGGAATTGAAGCTTCAAGCTTCAAAGGGGAGAAAAAAGAAGAAACTTGATTGGATAATGCACATCAGGTGGATCAGGACTCACGCTGGTGACAGGAATTACGAATATTTGATTAACAGCGTCTAGCAACAATAATAATATCTATATAAAATTCAGTATTGCCAATTATGTTTCAAATGTAATACCTCCTCAGTTGAGAATCACTATTCGCTCTGTGTGTGTTCTCCTCTGACATGCCTGACATTTGTCATTGGGCATGCTGTGAGCTCCAGAGAGCCTTACTGGAAAGTGGGCTGCATGTGTCTTACTGGTTATCTGTGCATGCACCACAAACCCCTTGCTCATGTTTGAAAGCACCAGTGTGTGTTTCAGGTTCGAGAGTCTGTTCCTTCAGCTCAGGGTGCTGTGACTGTGCCTACCGGAGGCGATGATGGAGATGGTGAGGTAGGACACTGCCTCCCGGATGCTGAGGTCTGCTTTGGGGCCCTCCAGGATGCACATGGCAGCAGTGTGGCATTGCTCCTGTAACAGTGCCCGGTCTGCTGTTCCTGCCACTGCCAGCAGGGGGAGCAAGCAGCTGGTGTCACCACACTGGGTCAGCTTCTTCAGCAGCTGGGCAGAGGGAAAGAGATAGGAGCAGACAGAGAGGGAAGGTACAGTGGAGCAGACCTGCAAAGACGTCAAGCCCCATACAGAACTTTAATCGAGCTCAATGGGGAAACTCTCTCCACTGAAGGATAACAGTCCATCCCGATACAGCTCTGCTGATAAAATAAAAGCTCGATCCAGTGCAGGAGTCAGTGTCAGTGATTTGGCTCACTACGGAAGAGCATGGCCTTGCTCATTTCAGCATTCAAGTGGTTATTTAAGAAGCTGCCCTGAGGTTATCTAATTTTCATTTATTTTCTCTCTGACAAGATGTGGCAAGAAGCCCATTAGTAGCTCATTAAATCCACTTTGCAATTGAAAGCAATTAGCTCTTTCACAACAACAGATAAAGCCGACAGTAGAGAACATTAATCAAACAGTGACTGTAATCTAAGACAGTACTCAGGTCAGGCCATGTCCTGTCTCTCTCAGTCTCATTCTCTATCTCCTCTGCGACAGTGTCTGTATCTTCTTCTCTCTTTTTCTATGTTAATTTCCCCCCTTTCATACAAAATTTCGTGTGTCTGACTGATTGTATTACAATGTGCAGCAGATCCCTAAAACCATCCATGTGACATTCAGCACAAGCATCAGACCAGTCAAACCACTGAAATGTTCCATTGCTAGTTCAACACAGAGCGATCAACTCTATTTACAGTAGAAACTTAACTGTCAGCTCACAAAAACAACTAAAATTGTTGGCAATCTACACTACCTGGATGGTTTTAGCCATAATTTGCAGTCTCAGTACTGCTGTAGGTGTGGGCTATTGGGAGAAAAGCTAAAAAGCTAAGCCACCCAGTTAAATATGTAAAATCTTGGCAAATATTGCCCCCAGCTGGTGATTGTATAGATGACAGTTCATCCACTTTGTTTTGCGTTCTCTAGAGGGAAATCCACCTCCTTTTTTAAAATCCAGCAGTTTCCACAGATCCCTGATCAAGCTAGTTTTATTCATACCCCTTCCAGGGGAGGCAGACTAACAGAGACTCTGCTTGCTCTGTGTATAGGGAACATTTCCTGACATTCTCTTTCAATCAGATTGGTAAACCCTTCTCTTTATCACAACAACCCCTAGCACGACCGCCATTTCTATAGTTTTACCGCAATCTTGCAAGGGATGGCCATATCTCATCATGGGTGGGAGTAGATCTGCAACTGTGAACTACCAATATTTTCCTCATTGGTCCTGGGAGAAATCCAAACCAGTTTAACAGCACAGGTTTAACACCAACCCTGGGCTCGCACCTGCTTGCATTGCAGCAGTGCAGTAGGCAAACCGAGGTGCTGGATTGCATTTAGTCGCCAGTCAACAGCCAACAAAAGCAGCCGGGCTTCCACCCGTGACCTGCCAGCCGCTGCCATTCTGGGTGAGGTGCTCCCGTACCTGGTTGGCATCGTACAGGAAGCCCCGGTGCAGCTGGAGCAGGGCGAGGCGGGCGAGAACGGGCGAGCGGGGAGACGGGTGGCCGAGGGACAGGAGCAAGCGGTAGGCCTCCTCCGCCCGCCCCAGCCTGTAGAGGGCGTCGGCTGCCAGGATCCGCGGCGCGGCGCTGCCCGGCTCCAGCTCCATCAGCAGGGCTGCCAGCGCCTGCACCCCCGCGGGGGTCCTGAGCAACACAGAAGCCCGTGAGATCCAGGAGCGGGGTGGGGGTGGGGGCATCGCACAGGTAAGACGGCAGACAGGCCCAAACACCTTCACAGATCAAGGCTGTGGAGCAGCAGTTCCCAGTCCTGGTCCTGGTGAGGCACACAGCTGCTGCTCAGGCCCACAATCAAACCCTCCATTGACGAGAAGGAAAAAGGAATGAAAAGAGAAGTGGAAGAGAAAGAAGAAGATGAATTGGAAGTGTTTGTTCCCAGCTCCAACATGTTGGAGCATTAATCACTGTATTTTGAAAGTGAAATAAAATCCCAAACTTGGGACTGGAAACAAAACGCAAGTGTTCCAGTAAGGCTTCACTGATCTCATGAAGGTGGGCTGGAATGAAAACCAGCAGGTAGGGGGGGCACCAGATCCAGCGATTGGGAACCGCTGCTTTAAGTGATCCTGGTGTACGCACACAAAATACAGGCTCTTGGGATGGCTGTGCATACACATCCAGACCCACAGAGACATGCAGCAGCCAAGCAGACACGCAACAGCTGTCTTCCCAACACCTAGAGCTCACAGCCGGCACAAGTCCTCTCACAGGGAGAACACAGAAGCGCAGTATTAGAATCCAAAGAGCGAGGGCAGTGAGGGGCGTACCCTTCCTTGTGTGAGGAGCTGCAATCCCGCTCAGGCAGTCTAGACGGGGGCTGATCTCTTTGCTGCTGCTGCTGCTGCTCGGGGATGGGCGAGGGGCTCCGTCCGCCCTGGCTGCTGCCCCTGCCAGCTCCCTCCAGCATGGCCCTCCCCTGCTCCAGCAGCACGGTGAACAGCAGCCCCCGCAGGTTCCAAGGGATGAGGCAGCGCACAGTCAGGGCCGTCTCTTGAGGGTGCAGCCGGCTTGCTGTCATGTAGTCCAGGGCCGCCAAGTAGTGGGAGTCGGCCAGCATGCGCAGCAGCCCCCGGCCACAGAGTGCCCGCACACAGCTGGAGGGGTGTGGGGCGCTGTGCTCAATCACCGCCTGGAAGTCCTCCAGCGCACCCTGCTGGTCGCCTGAAAGAAAGCGCGCAAACCCTTGCAGCACCTGTACTGTGTTTTGGTAGCTCTGCTGGGCTGGGGCGACTGCCGCAAGCTGGCTGCAGATGGACAGGGCCTCCCGGAACTGCCCTCGGAGGAGGAGGCAGTCTGCCAGCCTCACGCGCAGCTCTCTGCTGCCCCCTCCTGGCTCCAGGTGGCACAGGGCCTGCAGCCCTGCGATGACAGGATCCAGCAACTCCACCCCTTTGGAGGAGCGCAGATCAGGCCGCCCTAATACGGCCTCCCTGTACTCACAAAGCCCCCTCTCTGCCTGCTGCCTGAGCTGAGAGCAGGCAGAAGCCTCCGCCCCACGGTCCGAGAACAGCTGCTGGAATTGCAGCCTGGCAGTGGCAGGGTGAGTCCCAAAGGCCTCGCTGAGGTCCCAGCACATCTCCGCTGCCCGGCCTCCCGCAGAAAAGAGGGCGGCTGCTCGGCCCACCAGGAGACAGGCTCTTCTTTCAGGCAGCAGCCAGTGCGCAGCTGTCTTTTCCGTGCCGGCGCGGGCCTCTGCCTGCAAGTCTGTCTCCCCCAGAGCCAGGGAGTAAGCCTGTGCACTCTCATCGAAGCTGCCAGCTTGGAACAGGGCCACGGCCTGGAGCTCCTGCACACGTGTGTCGCCGGGGGCGATGGCTGATAAGAAGTGGAGGTATTTGGAAGCTTCTTCTGGGTGGAGAGCTTCGGTTCCCCCTTCCTGTTCAGCCTCTGTCTCGTCCCCCAGTGTCTGTAGAGATAGTCTCTCCAGGAAGGCATCGACAATTCTGGGCAGGAGCTGGGCCTGCCTGCTCCTGATGAGCCTGGCGGCCTCGGCCTCGTTTGCGTGGAAAGCCTGCAGGTAGAGCTTCGGCCCACGGGCCCCGCGAGGCTCCGAGAGGAGGCTGGCCAGGGCGCGCGTCAGCTCCAGGGCCAGGCGCGCGGAACCCAGCGGACAGGGGTCTTGTTTCCCCTCCAGCAGGGCCGAGCAGCGCGCCGCCACTTCGTCGGCGCCCCGGCCGGCGGCCAGCAGGAGCGACTCCATCTTGTAGAGGCTAGCGGCGAGGTTGTTGGGGACCAGCGTGGACAGGAACACAGCCGCCAGGCCTTTGTTGGGGCCGGGGCTCTCCCCGGGGTGCTGAGCTTCTCCCGGGTCTTCCAGCCGGGCTTCCAAAGTGGAAACGACCCCCGCCAACGTGGCCCCCCCCAGGCCACGCACGTGGGAGACGGTGGTCCCGGCGTGGCAGCCGAACGCTGACGTGTACAGAGCAGTGGCCCTCCTAAGCTCTCCCTCTCCTAGGAGCTTATCCCCTTCCTTGCACAGCTCTGCAGCGCCGTCCGCCGCCTCCCTGGGGGCGGCGGCCATATTGGGCTCGGGCGTCTTCTGTCCTGGGCGCAGCTCACACACCAGGGAGGGGCCCGCTGGTCAGAATGCAGGACGGGGGGCTCACACAGCTCTCAAAGGCCCTGAGAGTGGACCAAAAACACGAGAACGTCCATCACAAGGATATTTTTCACCTCCATAATTCCATATCTCGCTTCAAACTGCAATATGCTTAAAAAGCTGTTTAAGCTATGACAGTCACAATGTTTGTATCGCTGAATTGGAATAGTACATCCAAAACAAAAAGGACCTGTTTGTCTGACAGACCCTGACTGATGACTTACTCTCCTCTTTCTGATACTACTGACCCCAAGAAGGCTCTGCAGCCCAAACATTGTGTCTCTTTTCTTTTCAGCACGGAATAAACCTTTACCTTACTTACTACGTTTTCCACCCTTGATGGGATCTGCTACGCTCTTAAGATCCTTTGAATGGATCTGAAAATGTCCAACATCTAGCTCCTTGCATATCTAGCTCCCAGGAACGTGACGATTTGAGCGCTATGTGGACAGCACAAACACAATTGCATGGTACCATCATACACTGACATCTAATACAACAAACCAGTGAAAACTGGTTAAACTAATCAAGCCGGACAAGCGCTGAGTCAATGCAAATTAGAGGTGCCTGGCTTGCAGCATGGTAATCGCGCACAGTGCGCGTCTGACTTTCTCCGTACTGCTCAGCTCGGAGATAAAAATTATCGCATCCGACCACCTCGAGCTAGGCTCATTCCTGAGAGTAAAAAATGAATGTGAGCTGGCACGCTGAACGACGCTTTTGTAAGTCTTTTTTTTGCACTGAGAGGTATCAAGACAAATTACCGTAAAGGACGCAGTCTAGATTGAACTGGTGGGGGTCGGGTGTCCCGTTCTGCCAATGAAATGTTAGTTGTTATTAGTGACTAGGAGATACACAAACTGATATAAATAAAGCCGACTACTATAATTCTGACTCCTACAATACACACCAGAAATCGTAAAACACCATACAAATCTATATCTTGGATTTTCTGTGTCGTTTTAGAACTATTCCAAATACACTTTTCCATAGCTGAGTAACTGTTTTCTTAGTTCTTGAAATTTTATCTCGTTTTCCAAGACGGCTCAAGGTTTAGTTGCGTCAGTCGTGACACAAACTACATTAACAAAGAAAGCGCTTTTACACCCAATTATTGGTTTTGGTTTTGTTGTCTAGTGGCGTCTGGGATTTGGCTGCAGCAATATTTAAACGCAGTCTATAGAAATATAGCCTGTGACAACACAGTCATCGAGGTGACAGCCGCCTTAAATCCGCAGGTCACCTAGTTCACTTCTCACCTGTAGCCGTGCACAGTCGCATATTACAGGGGGCTTTTTAAAAACATAATAATAATGGTAGCCGAATTGAGACACATTTCAGAATTGTTGAAAATTCATACATAGGTCTTTGGGGGGGGAATTCCATTTGATTTTTTGTTAACGAGCAATGTAAAAACACGCAAGACGTCCAAAAGCTGAAAGCTGATTTGAAAGACGAGGGAAAGAGGAAAAATGGCAGCTGCCAGCGCACTAGGAACTTTCCAAAAATAAATCGCTTCTAAGGAGCATCGGTACAATTCTGAGAAATCTGAAGAGAAAAGGAAAATTATTTGTCCTGTCTGAAAGCGGATTTCACTTTGCATTCTTAATAGCTATAGTTCATGGTTTGTGGAGCGGATTTTTATTAATCCTTACTGTACCTTGTTGAATTGCAAATTAATTATCAATAAAATAATTAATAATGCAACTACAAAATTAATATTAATGCAGTTTAATGTGTTTTAATGTATCGTATGCACCCGCATTTTCTTACTAGTCTTTCTTGTTACAGTTACAGCAATTGTTTTCGAATAGCTTGTGCCCTTTTCTTATTTAACTTGTCATCAGAATAGTCCACACTTACACTGTACGTCGTAACTTAATACAGCGTTTCCATTGTTGCAGTAATTTAAGACTGCATAGTACAAGCACCGCGAAACAAATGTTTAAAATTCAAAATTTACCTTTTTTTCCAAAGAGAAGCAATCATAAGACGCTTAGTTTTCTCTTCTTCTTTTATTTCATGCCGGCGTTTTGCATGTAGACATCGAAAAGACTCTCAAGATTTGAACATTCCGAGAAAGACACATGAACTACACGTTTCATTTTAACTTGATCTCTTTAAAAGAGGAAAGAGGCGGATCAGCTTCACTGTAACTACATGTGCCGGGTTGCCGGAGCAACAATAAACACTTTGGGACAAGGATTGGAAAGCCCTCTTTAAATGTGCTTAGCTGTCCCTTAAATTAAACAAGTTCAACTATAATTTATTTACATTACCTTATACCTCTCCCACACACCAAAACAACATTATTCTAAGGAAAGTGTGATTTTTAGCTCCTTCATAATAAATCCCATTGTTCTCATGTTCTCATTAACTCAGCTTCATTCATTTTAATGGATAAAAAAGATAAAATTAATACATTCTGTGGTGATGCTAAACTTCAGCAGCAGTTGAGTGTACCAGAGGGCTAACCTACTGGATAGATCCATTATTAAAAACAAAAATGGTCCAAAAATGGCAATTTATCAAAAATACGTAATAGTCCTGATACTGATCTTGTATTTATAATGAGTTTCTGGGCCTGCAATTGCCATCATGAGCAATATAACCATGTATTCATTCATGCATCATACATGTTCCAGGGCCTGGCTATTTTACTGAAGGTTAATTTACATTTTGACACATCAGCAGTATCTAGAAACATATTTCTAACTCCACTGTAGGGCTTTCACAGCTTTCCACACCCTAACAAGGGCAATGGTGGTTAGAAAGATACTGTAGGCACACTGTGTCAATGAAACACCCTGTGACACATTTCCATAGCTTATAGGCAGAACAATTAATTATTTTTAACTGTTTTGAATATACAGCAGCTAAATGTGCTCCCAGCATGGGCCTTCCTGCTGAACGGCTGTACTGTGAACATTTGACTATACTTGAGACACCAGTTAAGTAGGTTTTGCAGTGTTGTCCTATCCTTTGATGTTAATTAAGATTTGTTTGTATTGGTGTGAGAAGGGTCTGCTCCCTGTGTCAATGGTTAGTTATCATACTTGTGATTATTCTACTTCTTAGTAGGCTAGTACTACAGCATTGCGGAATTAGCCTTTAGTCCTCTGCTGCACAGAAACGGTGAATTAATTCCATTAATCAGCTTGGAGGTTAAGAAAGTTAATTGCTGAAGCTTAAGAAGGCATACCTTGTATATCAGCACTTTGCCCTCTGAATGGCTTCTGTAACAGGTCTGTATTGCTAAATACTTGACAAGATGTTTTTAATGGTTAAAATTGATCATTCTGTATCGTTTAATTTGTGTGAACCCATTTTCATTGCTTAAAACAGAATGCATACTGGCTATATTTGAACGTGTTTGCTGTGTTTAATACAACACCATTCCTTCATGACATTAAAACCGTAATGTACAATAGTTCAGGTGGGTAGCTGCGTCAGCATGTGTAGACTGCAAAGGAACAAGTAATAAGTTTATTCCAAGCTGAAAAGAGAAGAAAGAAAACACAACGTTTCGGCCGTGGAGCCTTCTTCAGGTGTTATAATATACAATAGGCTGGCCCAGGTCACATCTATTTAAATAAAATTTAGTTTGTCACATTCTCAGTCCTTTATTTGTTACCCATTTGACCTGTGACACGTAAGCTAACGATCATCTCTATTAGGTCATCATGAGAAGAGGTGGAAAAGTGGAATGAAAACGTGCAGAAACCTCAGCCCCATGGGACTGGAACTGTGCAATCTCAATTTGCAGGGCCAGGAGAATTCAAACAGCAATGTCCACATTAGGACGTGTTGGTTGAAGGCCTTTTTCTGCCCTACACCATGAAACTCTTAGACTGAACACTTGGCAGGCTTGTACTATACTAAAAAGGAAACTGTATTAGCTCCTCGGGGAAGTTGTAGTCAGGGAAGGTTCGACATTTGATGGGCTGTTTCGACAATCTTCATTCTCTGAAAAGGTGTCGACAGCCCTCGTCAGTGCTGAGAGGCACAGAGCAGTCCCTGACTTTGGAAGAATCGACAGACCCCTTGCTCGGTTCCTGCTACACTAATCTGGTTAACGTTAGTGACAAGGCACGTTCCCTTTGCTGAGAATGTCTGCAAACCAACATACAGATCAGGGAATCACTTTTCTTTAAGTGGCCCTTTAAATGAAGGCCAGGAGGGTTGTGTTGGTGCATTCTGGGTAGCGATTAGCTAACCAATCGACAGAGCCGGAAGGTGTCCAAACTGTAATGGAGGTAAAAAAGTAAACCTTCGTTGGCGAATATATGAAAAGGAGAAATCTTAAAGAGACTATAGAAACGTAGGACTGTGTTGCGAGTCAAGAAAAGATAAGCAAATACACTCTTATTCTGGCGGATTTACAGAAGAATTTGGGTGTTGGAAGGTAAGAACCGAAATGCCAAGATTAAACAGAAGCTCACGCTTAGGGTTTCTATGGTTACAGCTAGCAAAACCTTAAGTGCGGTGTTACATGTATTTGCAAAAACAAATTCACACGAATGGTAAGTACCAGCCATCAATTATTATCGAAGTCTGTTACTTTGTAGCGTAGTTAAAGTGCCATTAAACTGATATATTAGCCGCGCACGGTGTCACAGCATGATTAGCATCGATCCTGGTATGAAAGAATGATGTGAAACCCCTCGGGCACTTATGTGTTTATTTTATACAGTTGTCACCTGTATTTTGTTTTTTTTTCCTCGAAGTCGTTAACTTTCTTAAATAAGTTTAATATTGCATGTTGCTTCCGGGATACCGAGTACAGGGGTACAGTTTAATGATAGTAAACAGAGTCACCCGATATTTCTCTTAAAATTCCCCTGCGTTAAATAAACCTCTTGGTCATTTTTCGATGGATTTTCCCTCATGAGTAAAGATTGGGGACTTTTGAATTGTCAAGTCAACATCGCGGTGATCACGGTCAGACAGCATTAAATCAAAAAGGAAGTAAGAAGCAAATTACAAAAGGAATACAATTCGATTTAAAAAAAATGAAAAACAGTTTCACATTTTCCCCCCTTCCCGGTTAGTTTCTGTTAAGCAATAAGGCAAAGTCCCCCCTCCCGAATGGGTAATAACCATAAAATGCTAGATGTCGCTTTCCTGGTTTTACGATAATACGGCCATTCGTCATTTCACGTGCCTCGTACGACGTTTTATGACTCACAGGACCTTAACGACCATTGCATTCAGAGCAGGAGAAAAATCCCCAAACATAGACAGTGTGTCACTTTTTCCTTTTAAACGTGAATACAGGCTTTCGAAAATCAATCCGAAAGCCTGTATTTATTAATAGCATTTATGTACATTAAAATACGAATATCTACTGTACTAAGGTTTTGATGCATGTTTTAGACATGACATAGTGATCCTTCTTTACATTATGTTCACTTCTTGTCTGACAGTCTGACACCTGAAGAAGGCTCCACGGCCGAAACGTTGTGTTCTCTTTCTTCTTTTTTTCAGCATGGAATAAACCTATTACTTGTTCCTTTGCAGCCTACGCATGCTGACGCAGCTACCCACCTGAACTACTAGTCTTGACAGTTATACTGGCAGCCCAGCCAGTATGTGCAGATGTGCAGTAAATTGCATGGCCCCTTACAACTGAACAAAACTGCTCTTTATTCAATAATAAATGCGCCCAAAATTCTTCAAATGGATAAATGGAAACGAGTTAATTTGTGTTTTTTTTTTCTTTCATTTTTCTCTGCGGACAGATCGTGCCTCCAAAAGTGCAATGTCCTCATTTGGGCAGTTGGAGGCGCTGCGGCTTCAAAACAAAGACCTGTTGCAGAAACTGAGGGAGAGAGGGGAGAGACTGAAGGGGCTGAGATGTAGGGACGCCCAGGTTTCCACAGCAACGGAGATCACGCAGTCAGGGCCCAAGGTTAAGGCCCCAGCCACAGCCAGGACTGCGAGTGTTCCCATAGCAACATTGGAGAACTCAACCGGACCAGAAGGCACAGACAACCTGGTTAGCACAGCAGCAGACTACAGTGGTTACAGTTTGAAGAAGGTAACAGGGTTTGCTTTTTTTCTGTCCGAAGTTCATTCCAAGCTCACTTTGCTTTTAGGATTGTGACTTTACCTAAGATTACTGTGAGGTTTTGTTTTCTCTGTTTAAAATATGAAACAAATCACAGTTCACATATAATACCACTGTCCCTGGTATGGTTTAAAAAAATATTTTTTACCTTCAAAACTACAACTTTAAAAACCCCCAGAACTCATTACATTAAATTTAGTTGGTAAGTTATTTTTTTTTCTCTCTTCATTTGCCGGCATTGAGATAGTTTGGGTTTTCTTCCCTCGGGATTTAGTAACAGTTTGGTACAGAACACGCTTGACCTTTGTGCTTGCTTTGGGGATTGCAAGAGGCATCTTCATTTTTTCGAAGGACGGAAACAGTCAGATAAATTCACCAGAAACTGTATGGGACAATGAGATTTCTGATGCACTGGCATCCCATCCAGGATGTATCCTGCCTTGTTCCCTTTGCTTGCTGAGACAGGCCTCTGCAGCCCTGTCTTGGATAAAGAAGTTAGAAGATGAATAGATGGATGATTTTAAAGTCCATTGTGACATTTTCAGTATTGTCATGGAATTGAAATGGAACTATATAAGCATAATTTGCAAACACTACATTTCCATGCAAGTAAAAAAGCAGCGCAAACTGGTCCTTGGGTCAGAGCTCGTCCTGTTGTCTAAGCCTCAAGCAACCTCTGGCTCTGAATGGGACACTGGTCCATCACAGTGCCTACCACAGAAATGCTAATTCCCTTTCATTCAGCTGGGTAAACCGGAGCAGTTAAGCCCTGCAACAGGGGCTTGAACCCGCAATGAAACCACTTATGAGTCCAGAGATGTACCCATAATGCTCAGCTCTACTTCGTTTCTTTGGAACACCTCATATGTACATGTAGTTCCTTAGGCAGGTTTTCTATAAAGCTGGTTTTTAATTTCTACATGCATTTTGTATTTTAACTAGTCTAATTTAAATAAAACAATACGTTTGCGTGTTTGTTAGAGTATTGATGTGAGCCAGTTGAGAGGGTTTTGTAATTACAGATGTTTCACCTATCAGCGTGAAACATTTTTGACTGGTTTTCCAATGTACAGATGAACGAAAACAAAACCTTCTTCTTTGATAAGTTAGGATTGTTTACGGAAAGCCTAAGTGAGTTTCTTGTTTTCAGTTTGCTTGTGGAACTTTCAAAAAACATGTCTGAGAAGACATGACATGAAAGCAGGATATGCTGTCCTTCATTAAATATTTATTCTACTATATAAATATTCCAAATATGTGTTTTCTGATTTGTTCCTTGTGGTCTTTGTATTGTCTAGTATTGTGTGCTATTTATGGCATTAAAGTTTGAGCAGTTTACCGGAGTGCTTTCTTACAGGAAGGTCATGCTTCCTCAAAGGACGCTCAGACACAGGCCATGAAACCTACAGTACACACAAGTCCTGCTGTGCCTATGGTGACCCTCACTGCTGGCCAGCTAGGCCAAGCCCGTGCAGCGCTGTGCAGGCCCAGAGCTCAGAACAGGGAGCTGCTATATGGGACAGATAGGGCTGATGCTGTCCTTGTTAGAGCTGAAGAATCCCAAGCCAAGCCCACTGCACACCTTCAAGGTAAGAGCCTCAGGGTTGTCAACTCATTTGGAGGTGTTTTCCTTTCAACTTTAAAATTGTATTCGTTATCAAGAGACATATCTCCCTGTGCCATCTTATTCTGCAGTGGGGAGCTCAGGCTGAAATTGAGCAATAAAGATAACAGATAACGTTCATGTGAAAGAAGGTATACCGTGTGTGACTTAATTAATCATCATGATAAAGCACTAGCAGGGTGTTCTTTGGTGGGTTGAGAAACATGTTAAAAGTTGCTTGTTTTGCTCAAAGCAAATATACATTTTGAGTAGGTTATGTAGATGTTATGTAAAGTGTAGATGGAACGTCACAACACTGAAAGATTCTAAATACTTGAACACTTTCATGGGGAGGATGTTTTTTTTAACTTTCTGAAACACTGTGTCTTTTCAGTTGATGTATGTCACAGATAATATTACAGATATCTTCCACTGTGAAATGGGAATTAATTGTGGCTTCTCCCACCCAATACACAGAAGAGGCAGCTTCCGTGTCCGATAACTTTTGTAAGACGTCCACCCCGTCCTGTGAGAGGGTCTCCAAGTGGAGACAGGGAACCCACTTGGGACAGAGATCTCACCTGGAGCCAGTGCTGTATACCAAACACTTGCTGGATCAGGGCAATGACCGCCACAGAGCAGCTCTCAAGCAGGATGCCAAGAGACCCAAACCCATTCTACTTACACCACACCAGGAGAGACCCCGGGTAAGAGGAAAGCAGGGAGAGAGAGAGATAGACAGAGGAGGATGAGAGAAAGGCTGAAGCAGAGATGGTTAACCGGTAATGGAGGTATATAGTGCTGTACATGCATAAGGGCATACATATGGAACGCAACATGTTTGCATAGCATTTAATACTTCTTTTCATTGTTATAGTTGTCTTTTGAGAAAATCTGTTGCAAGCACAAAAAATTGCTCTAATCGACTACTGTACTATGGAACTGGTGTCAGTGAATCTAAGGTTGGTGGGTGGCTAGATGGCACTATTTCACCAGTGAGAGAATGTTAGGAAGACTGTAGAAATTGTCAGCAGATTCAGGCCTTGGCAGACAAATTCAAGAAACATTCCAGTTTACTTAGTATAAACTTTTTTGCGCTTAGAGTATTACCCACAGTAGGTTCAGTAGGTCTTGCATTATTAAATCTATTGGAACTTCAGTGCAAATCGGACTTACTGTTAATGGAATGTTTTGTAAAGCATAAAGATCCCCTTTTGTTGGTAGCATTGTAGGGGGAACCTGCACATAAAACTATCCCTTTATATGAGAAGTCAGGTGGTGTGCAGAACAACCCTGCTGTACCAAACCCTGTTTTTGGCTGTATAAGTGTATGCATAACATCCCGTTTGTTAGAAAGTGTGTAGCAGTGGAAAATACTACCCTCTCAATCCCGTTTAGGTTAAAACGACCCATCTTCTGTTTACCAGCTGGCTGACACATCAGCAATTGAGTTTGCTTGATCTTTCCCTGCTCTCTATAACCATGTACCTTATCCTAGAGCCTTTGCAATTAACCACACTCAGACAACCCTGTTCTGTCTCTCCCTCAAAACTGGCTGTCATTACTCAGTCCCTCTCTGGGATTGCTGCAGGAATTGTCCCCATTCCAGGTTTGTTCTCTTAAGTTCTCACTACCACACCTGACAAAGAGGGTCTGACTCGTCTCTCAGTCCTTCAGGAGTGTTCACTCACTGAATCCTTCGCTCAGGTGATGCCAGTCTCCTGATGTCATCGTGAGAAATGCAGCCTTTTTTTGTATCCTGTGGTGGCTTGACCCCCTTATCTGACCCCCCCAGATCCAGCTGCCCAGTTACTGGCACACATTTTAAAAATAACTGCTGGTTTGCAGATGTGCTAGTACTTTAAAGGGGTATGCATGTGCAGTCTTCACCTTTCTGTTATTTTTTTATCACACATTTCTAAACAAAAACCAAATGCCAATTTTATAGGTCCTTGTTAGTCAAACCTCAAAAATTTTTTTAATTGATTTCTAGATTCCAACTCCTGATGTATATTAAACGTCTGATAATGAAGCATAACGTCTTTATGTGACCACAGGTGTCTTTTCAGTAATTCTGAACAAGATAACTGCAGCTATCTGAAAGGATATCGCAAAATCAACCTATCTGTTCGTGTTATCAAGGGACTATCCCGTTCTATACTATTTCACGTAAAGGTCATTTATTTTATTTCTTTATTGGATTTATTTTATCTCTAAGCAAAAAATGTAAATTCTGTTCCAGATAACAATCATGTTAACACTTACAGTGGATATAAAAAGTCTACACACCCTTATTGAAATTACAGGTTTTTTTGTGATGTAAAGCTGGAAATCAAGATAAATCATGACAGACATTTTTCCATCTTTAATGACCTTGCAACTAGCGAAATTCAAGACAAAAACAAATAGATAATAATTAGGAAAAATAATTTAAATTAATAAAACCTACAACACAATTTTGTTGGTTGCAAGGTCACATTAAAGATGGAAAAATGTCTGGCATGATTCATCTTGATTTCTGGCTTTACATCACAAACACCAGCAATTTCAATAAAGGATTGTAGACTTTTAATATTCACTGTAGGCACACTTCACCGGAGGCAGAACTGTTAGTGCTGTTAACTTTGGGTAAGAAAGTCCTCAGTTCAATTCAGAATATTTTGTTTATCCCCAAGGAGGCAATTTAAGGAGCAAGCAGTGTGATGTTCAACACATTCCACATAAAACATGTGGAAAACATTATCACAATATTTCTAAGAAAAAATAATAATAACGGCAAAAGGTCAATATAACGATGATGAAAGTAACAAATTGCACATGCTTTATAAAGAGTCATAAAATAATACTGCACTTGCAATATTGGCTCTTCTACTTCGTGTGTGACTGGAATACACTTCAGCAATGATCTGAACGTCTGTGTTGTCAGTTTCAGTAATGCTTTAATTTTGCTGTGTCCATGGAAAGATATCTGACATTAGCAGTTCAATGCAGTAGTGCTAAAAAAAACACCTTAAGAAATACTTAAGATCTAAAATGCCACACAACGTTCAGTCTTTTGTTAAATTTTGTGTTTCAAAAGTGACAAATAATTCTGAAACACACAAAATACCGCTGACATTAAAAAAAAAATGTCCAATAAGCTCTGTGAAATGGCATTATGACTTTCGCAAAGTACTAGTACAGCACACTAGTGGAAAAAGCAAAACAGTAGAGCGCAAATCACTATATTGCTCTGGTCAATATGTGGTCTTTGTTGTCATTATAGAAGGAAGGCGGTCATGTGACATTCCATTCAGTGGATGAAGAGCACACTTTGAGCACTGAAGGCTTGTCCATGCAACCACTGCTGGGTTATGACTGGATAGCTGGTAAGAAGTTCTTCTTAATAGCTTAGGTGGTAAATTAGCAGATCTTTAAGTGGGTGTTCTATGAATTTGAATGACATAGAATTTCATTTTCCATATTTTTTGTGACTTGTGTTACTGTATGTGCCACTATTCTGAAATGTACATTTGTATCATGTTTATTTTTACAGTGAGAGATTTGTGGTGTGGCACTGAAATAATATACTTCTCTTCCTTCTTTGAAAAGTCAGAAGCGGTACGTCAAAAACAACACTTGAAGGAAAGAGGCGGGTTATTGTGAGGAAAATAGAACTGTTGGCAGAAAGACTTGTAGCTGAAAGAATATGCCATTAGCTAGTTTTTGAACGTATTTCAAAGCTTGATTGTTCTGCTGATTATGTAGGTCCATATATCTAGGATAGCTTTGTAAATCATTACATTTATTTGTTGTAACTTTGTAACTTGGAAGACCAGTGTTGATATCTATGCTAGAAAACACTAGAGCAGGGCTTTCCAATTCCTGCCCTGGTGACTTCGGTGCTGGCTGGTTTGATTCCAGCTGGATTCTTTCTTGAATTAAATATTGTGGTGATGTTCCACTATTCTGGGAAGTACATTTGAATCACTTTTCTTTTTACAGGGAAAGAAGAATACCATGTCTTTTTTTGTCCATTTTTACATACTTGTGGTGTGGCATTGAAACACTATTTCTTTTCCTAGTCTCTTTAAAAACTTTTCATGCATAACCGTTCAAAGAAATGGTTCACTTGTATGTTAAAAACCAAGGGAGGAATAAACACCAGAAATCACATGGAAATTGTGATAATTTGCAAAAATACATTCTAGCCTTAACTAAACTTTCAACTTATCTAAAAGCCTGATTGTTATGCTAATTGCATAGATTAATTTATACATAGGTCCATACATCTAGGATAGCTTTGTACATCCTTAACTTTCTTTGTTGTGATTTGAAACACCTGTTGTGATGGCTATGGTAGAGAACAACAGAGCTGGATTTCCCAATTCTGGATCCTACTTTCTTGGCTTCAGTGCCTGTGGGCTGTTATTCCAGTTTAATACTTAAACTAAATATTTAGGCATTTAGACTAATTTTCAGTCACTGAAAAGGTGCATCTTTTGTGTTATGCACACTTGAAGTTCACTTTAAATCTCTAGCCATTTAAGAGCTGAAAACAATATAGTAACTGAAAACTGATAAATGAAACAATTTATTCTATTAAGGGGTCTGTTATGTAACAGGATTGTACACTGGTATGAAACCAACAGGCACTGGGGTCACCAGAACTGGGAAGCCCTGCACGAGAGGTTATATAGGTTAATTACAGCTTTCTTAACACCATGATACCTTCTTGTCCTCCAGGTCTCCTGGATGCAGAGAGTTCCCTGACAGAGCGCTCCGAACAGTATTTTGCTGAACTCAGGACCTTCCGCCAGGTCAACAGGGATGATTGTGTTCACAGCCTGTACATGGAGTAAGAACACTTTTTATTTGTACTCTCTGACAAATGACTGAATAGAGGCTAGTATTTTTTGTTAGCCAAGGCCAAATAAACTCGAAGTAATTGAGCTGTTGGATACGTCAAGCATAGTCACCACTGAGCAATAGCCCGGTAACTTGGCTAAACTCCTAGTTTTACCTTCTGGTTTTGTCTTTCTGAAATTTGTCTGAACAAGATCTTGCAACATTTGGAATTCTAATGAATTTAGGATTTATCTCGAAATACAACTCCCATATTTATCAGCCCAACTTTATGCGAAGAAAATTACAAGTTAAATTATAAATATTACTAAAACATTAAGCATTCTTGCCTGGGGCTTTTTCCAAGTAAAAGGTTTTAATACATTAAATTTAATACATTTAATCTCTCTGTAGAGACTGTATGGAAAATAGACCTGGCTTAGGTGCATCATATGAAATGTCACAAATTTGATGGTGAGTTGAAAATCAATTAGAATACCTGTATAGTAACACAAAGAAAGTGTTTGCGTATGCTATAGCATTTTCTTTGAGACTATATATATTTTCGTTCAGCTCTTTGCCTTGACTGACAGAACACACTTCAATTTACATGTGGTAAGGCGTGATTTAGGAAGGGGTACATTGATATGCGGATTCCTTAAATATAGACCCTGGGTGTATTATAGTCTCACATTACAGTTTTATTTTATTGGTGCATTATCACACATTCATGGTCTTGGGAATTAGCTGACATACCTTGCAGTTTTCGTCATGTCAGATGCCTAATGATTCACTTCCTGCGTCTGGAATCTGAGTAAAACCAAGATCTTTTAAATTGGTAACTACTGGGGATGTAAAACGAGAGTTTAAAAGAGTTGAGCTGGGGGAAGGTGTGGGTAGTGGGTTATGGGGAAACTGTGTTTTTAAATTGGTTCAGACCAGAACTTCTTATCTTCTTCCCTATATATATATTTTAAGAAAAAGCACTACTTCTGTTAACAGTCAAGCAAGCAAAGCATTTCTGTTAAAACAAGGACATGGTATGGAGCTTTAAAAGGCTATTTCTCTATGACTGTATGTGAGCTGTCTATAAGGAATATTTTATTCCTTAGCCGTGGGGTTGTCCTGTGAAAACTGAGAAGAATGACACATGTGGGGGGAATCAGTTTCCACTGAGGTGACATGCGTTGAAATGGCACCCCTGTCTGTGTGATTGTGTGTTCACAGAACAGAAGACACAGAGGTTTCCTCCCCAGCCAGACAAGAGCAGGACCTGGAGTATGCCCAGGACACGCACCAGTGTATGACCTCTCGGCCGGTGTATGTGTGCGTCACAGGGAGTTGAATCCGCGAGTAAAGCTGAAGTTCACTTCAGGCCACATTGTAGTTTTATGCGTCATACACTTTTCCAAGGCACTGCAGGATTGTCCTGGCTTTATTGTGAAAGCAAACCACATTGTAACCCTGATTTCTGGGCAAGACCAAGCTATGCCTTGCTCTGCCAGGGCATTGCAATTCCAAGATCCTTCTGCACCTGACATTACCAATGTGTTGCACTAAGCAGTATCTGTGAACCTGTTATCCTTACCAGAAACTAACATTTCTGTGGGAGCATGAAAAATCTTAAAGCAGCAATAGAAACATGGCAAACTTGACAACATTCGAAAGTAGCCAATCACATTAGCAGATATCTTGGTTCTGTAAAACTAGTGCATAAGAAAGAAATACTTCCCAGTACTGAAAACAAAAGATTGTCTTTTGGATTTTCTCTAATAACTTTGTTAAAGTTGCACGTCATCACTAAAACAAAACATAGTTTAAAATCTCCATTGAGGAGCTTTTGAGATTATATGCGTTCTGGTTATGGGGATATGCATCACCTCATTTCTGCTATGCACATAATCTTACTGTATTTGTGGAGACTTTAACCACTCTGCAGTTCTCATAATGTGCTAGCATAGTACGGAAATATAATTTCTGAAAATGTCATAAAAGACTGTCAGCAGGTCCAAGAGCAAGTGTATTAATCACTGTGAAATTATTAATGTTTTACAAAGGCCCAACAAAAAATCTGAGTTCGGATGGGGAAAAAAGCACTGCACAGTAATGCAGTCCTGTGTTGGGAAAATTGCGTACATTACATCAAGTATATATGATAAAATAAAAAAAATAAAAGTACTTACAATGGGAAAACGATTTTCTCTGTGTGCTGTATTCACACGTTTCTGAGGTAATACAACATGGTCTTTCATAAAAAAACAATAAGTTTACTTATTATTACTAATTACTTAATCGTGTACCAACACGATTTTGATTTTATTTAAAAAATCAAAGGGAATGGATTGCAGCATTTTTTGTTCAAGAGAAGTCCCAACAGGGAGGCTAGAACTCTCAACAGAGCAGTGACAAGTCACCCAGGGTGGAGAATGAGAGGACCTAAAGCATCCCATTTTAAAAACCCCCCCTCCCCCAGTCATAACCTCATCATTTGTAATCACCACACTCCTTCCTTTGCTAGGCATGATGTCATCATCAAATGTTTCAGTTATTTAACTGGAGCTATACGTCAGCTGAGCATTCCCAAAAAAGTAGCTAGTTAGATTGTGCATGTCTGAATATGGTCAAGTTAGCTGTGATATGGCTCGCTGATGGGCTTTAAAGTGCCTCACTCTCTCATCCAGGTGTGCACTGCTACCGAATCAACAGCCGCCTGTTCCCTGTTGCGCTGGAACCCCAGGCTGCCTGTCCAGTGTGCAAGAAGCCCAGATCCCAGGGCACGCACACTATTCCAGAGCCAGCTTTCATCAGGTATGTTCACCCTCCCTCTCAGTTTAACTGCTTAATGTCAAAACCTGTCCTTGGATTACGGTTTCTTTTTTTCTACACAGTTGCCATCAAATATTGGTTTTGGGATTTGCAGTAAGATTGGTCAATGTTTATGTGACTATATGTATTATACAGTCTACAGCTAGATGAAAATTCGCTAAGTAGATGTGCTGAGAGACAAATGGTTTCCTCTGAAGCCAGTACAGTTCATTATGGGGTGAAGTAAAAACTGCACTTAAAATATGTATCCTTTTAGTTTTAGGTCTTTAATGGTTGACCTCTGTAAAATAAATGGCTGTTAAACCACATGTTATCTGTGTACACACAGAGGCTCATGATTACTAATGCAACAACAAACCAGGCTGTTTCAGTTTTAAAGCTGGATTTTTGAATATTGCTCCAATTATTGTATGCATGTGTTTGGACAAAGGTACGACTAAGACGGAAAAAAAAAAGGTTGGGGAAATGACACAAATCTTCCAGAATCCTCATTTCTAAATCTAGGGGTATTTTTTGGTTTTGGAAAACAGGTTGTAAAATTAAAGCAACCTAAAAGATTTATGGATTTGATCCTGAGTGTTCAATTACCTTGTAAATACATTGAAATGAAATGCTGTGAATTTAATCCTTAACTGGTAGTTTTACAGTGCTCATAGGATCTTCTACAAGTCACCTTGATTGCTACTGGGTTTTACAGGAGATTGAATACAGAAGCTCTGGAGATCAGAGAATTGTTTCAAGATCTCATCTAAAAGGGTGACTAAAACAACTGCAGTGACAGACTACATCCATAAGACATACCAGTTTTTACTGTGGCTCTCTCATGAAGACGGTCAAGGCTAATTTGGTGGTGGCTTCTCCACCAGGAAAGAGAGATATGGAAGTTTTACCTAAAGTTTGGTTGGAAAAGTAGTTTGACAGGCCAACTTACACTCAATGGCAACAGTTGAGAATATTTAACAAAAACACTCTGGCATCATCAGGATACGTTGTTTCCAAGACCACTGTTTAAATCTGAGCAGCAATTATTTGACTTCCAAGTCCACAAAAATTTGGTTGGGTAAATCACAGTTTGAGCTTCTGGAATTCTCAACTGGCATACAATGAGCACAGAAATGTATGATGTTGAAAACTATTTTGTGAAGAATGGAAAAGGATCCATTCTGCTTTAGAGTTCATTTGTATCCTCTGATCCTGGCATCTTAGTTAGAACAGATGAACAGATTACAAAGTTTATCTGGATATTTTTACTAAGTCCTGCAGCATTCTGTCATGAAACTTAAACATAGTCACATATGGACTTTACAGTACGATAATAAAGAGGTATGCATCAAACATAATGACCAAAAGAGTAAGAGAACCTGCAGTTTGTGATAATCAATCAAGGTGCCTAGTAGATGATTTATGGGATGAACTGTTTATACTGCTTTTAAAAACAGAGGTAATACTGTATATAAATAAAGTACATTTTCATGTTACACATATCAAGTTGGATTTAGTACAAACTATAGTCTGTACAAAAAAAATCAATACTGACTGCTGTGGCATGGGTGATATTGAATGTCATGAGTTTAGCAATATATACAACAGTTTTGGCAGATGTGTGACTTTCAATATTGTATGTATAAATAGAAAAAGCCTTGAGCTTCTGATTTATTTCTGTCAGAAACTACTGAATGAACACCTGGGTTTTCATGCTAGATCAGCTGTTAGTTACAGTTCCTTGGGGGGGCATAATTAAATTTGGTAGCCACTTTATATATGAATAAATATAAGTTTTTAAGAATTTCCTTGGGGGGAAAAAAGTCGGGAAAGTCAAAATCATTTGAGAAGAATGTTCTGGTTACATGAATCATATGACTACATTTTCAGTAACCCTTTCCTTCCCAGGAATGCTTAAAAAAAATAAAAGTAGGTGTCTGGAGGAGCAAAAACCTTATGAAACTTATGTAGCAAATAAATTAGCTGTTTTCTGACTATGCTTCCCAGAACCTCAAGTTCTAAAGCATCTGAAAGGTAGAGAAATATTCACAATGTATATTATACTGAGATCAACATAATATTGTTGAAAAACCTGCTTAAATCTATACCAAATACTAGAAAAGTGCTTCACATCCTTCATTTGTACAATATTATACAATGTAAGATAACAGAGACAAAAACAAGCTTTAAATGTTTTCTCTCCTACAAGTTACATGGTAACAATCTTGCACTTTCACAAATACTATTTTCTCTCCACAAAAAAGATGCATTGTTTCAGTTTCTTGGAGCTTAGTGTAAACTCGGTAAAACCAAGACGTAAACTCTCACTTCAACCTCCAAAAAAAAGTGTTACACTTTTTCAATTAAATAACTGAAACCAAATCCAACTTGATAAGAATGTGTAATATGAAAATACTTTGTTTATATAGCACCCTTTGTTGCTAAAAGCGGCTCAAAGCATTTAATAAAGACAATATGTTAGAAAGAGATTTTAAAATTAGATGAAAGAAATTTAAATTTTAAGTAGCAAAACAGACAGGAATTGTTTAATCTAATCATTAAAAGAAGTGAAACATTAAAAGTACAGTCAATTTAAAGTAAGTTTCAAGTTTTCAGAGACAGAAGAAACATGACAATTACAGTTCTTACAATGGACTGCATCAATATTTACACAGGTTGGGGATTTGTGTTCATGTGAAATGTCCCAGTATTGATTCTTGTCTTGCTAATTGGCCCCTCTCCTTTTTCCACCTGCCTTCTCTGCTGGCAATAAATCATGTGACGACAACATGGGATTTGGGATTCAGGTGAGTACGTTTTTGTGGATGTCTTATTTGTATGGTCTCCTGGAGTCACCACACTAGTGCTCTTTTCCCTACAACCATGATGATTGAAACTGCAGGTAAAGGTTATTTACACTAATACTGGCTCTTGCACATTTACAGTTCTGTTTCCACCACCCCAAATTAGCAAGATTTCATAAGAAATGCTAAAAATAGTTTGCTGATTTCAAAAGCTTGTTGTGTTTTCTGTTGAATGACTCTTTTGTGTGGGTGAAAATCAACTAATGACGGTAAGTGGTTCCTTGTTTATTTAAATCCTCTACTGAAGGCATTGACAGTTTCAGGAAAGGGGGTCATTTTCAGGACATGGTGTCTGGTTGCGTGTACATGTTTTAAGAGATTCATTCATTTTCATTATTGTCTATTGTCTTATACTTTGAAATCAAATGTGTCTCCTGAGTCAACTTAAGTGAGTCTTTATTCTTCCCCTCAGTGTCCTCATATGACCTTCTGTAATTGCTCTCTCTGTAGGGTCAGCCTCCCTCGCTCCTCACTGCTCCCAGCATACCGGTACAAAGCTCATCGGCGCTGCAGCTTTGACCCCTCTGACAGTCTGGGGCTTCCCTCTGTGAGTATGAAATAAGAAACAGGGGGGATGAGCTTGTGTCCACTGGCTTTGTTTTTCAAGTGCATTACCGACCGTAAACTCATTCGTAAACCTTGCTGCACAGTTTCACTATTGACCTTATATTTGCACAATTACTGTGCCACATCCTAAGTGCTTCATTCAAACGCTTTGAACTTCATCAATAGTAACTGTTGACTTGGGGAATCAGGCAATTTTCAAAGCATGATATATTTTTTCTCATTTCCTTCTTTCCAGAGTATCTCCACCTATTTCCTTTTCCTTACAGTAACTGAAGCTACGACGGCTAATACCTGGAATTATCTGCTGACACCCGAGAGTAAAGTTTCTTTGAATCACTGACAAAAAGCTCTCATAATCTTAACCTCCATTTTTGGAGTGTATGAAAACCTTAGAGGGTTCATCTGGCAAGGAGACTGCCACAGAAAGTGCTGCCTCCCATCTGGAACCAGGATAGCACTGAAATCTCTTATTAGAGGAGGCATTGTGTGGCTCTGATGTTGGAGGCGCCCATGAGCCACTGAGCTGTGAGTAGGGGTAGAGCTGCGCTCATCAGAAAAGCATCTTAGGTGATGGTGTCCCCACGTTCATTTTTTTGCAGCACTGTCTAGCTGGCTGGTCCAGCACGGCGCTTCCTGCAGCTGAAAAGGTGAACGGTCTGGACCTGCGGAGCTCTCTTGACACAGCAGCATCTGCAGACAACCCTTTAACAAAGCCCCCTGTCAAGGTTGGTATCCTGTTAACGTAGCACAACATTGTGTAGCATCTGGAATTGCAAGCAAGTTAAGTCATGGGAGGAATCGGAGGAGGGTGTAGGTGCCCTTTTCACAAACTTGGTGTTTAAGCCATTGTGCACTTAAGTAAGCAGCATTGTTAGATTGTGAGTCTGTTGTTCTGCTGTTGGCTAATTTGTGACTGACAGTAGCACTAAATACTTTAAGGTGCACTATCCTTCTCGAGACTATTTTAGAAATTGATAGTTTTGGGAATTCATTCAAAGCCTGTGGTAGCTTCCAAGGTGCCATTCCTTCCGCAGTTCCATATAATATGTTTTGCTAGGACACTACATCATTTATAAAAGTGAAAAAATGTCAAGAATGGCACAAAAGAGGATTTGGGAAATCCATTGAAAGATGGCAATTGTGATGCCTGACTGATATTTTTAAATCCTTCCCAATCATCACCTAAGTTATTGAAATTTACTGATTTGCATGTTTAAGAAGGATATATGTATAATAAAAACATGATATGCCTATAGAAACTGTTAGTAGAACTCATAACACTTTGTGCCCCTCGTTCTCTCCTTACTATAAAATAATACTGTGTCACAAATGCCCGTCTTTCAAAAAAGAAATTTCAAACTGCTTTTGGACAAGCACTGTTTATTGAAGTTTGCAGGTAACATCTTGTGAAACGTATACAGATTCAGAAAATAGTGTACACAGGTAGAAAACAAGATCCTCTGGATTAAAAACGGCTAGTTGGCACGTGGCCTGTGTCATCCACAATCCAAGCCATTTTGTTTTTTCAAAGTATTGCTTGAACTTTAGTCAGAATGTGGCTAAAACAACTTATGTTGTGGGGGGGGGACTTTAACCAGCAAAATCCAAATGTGGCAGGCATGATCCCTGGAACATGAGAATTCACAAAAAAAAGTATTTTTTTCCCACAAATTGAAGATTGAAAAACCTACAGTATCAATGTGTAAAACAAGATAGACATAATATTAGAAACATTACTTTCTTTCCAGCTAATATCGTTAAGATCTCCATGGCACAGTACTGCTGGCAGTTGCAGTTTATTTTTTCTCATTAGGCAAAACTCGAAGCTATGTGCAGTTGGTAAGCACTGCAGTTACAACGGTTAACGGTAGTGTTGACGTAAATTAGCGAACATTAATTTGCATTTACATGCCAGTTCTCATTGTACTACAGGGGTCCATAATGACCTGGTAACCAATGGTACTAGGCAGTCTGCCATTCTGGTTCTTCAATTTCCACTCCTTCAAAAGTAACTAAAAGTGATCATTTTAGATCTTCTGTAGGTCACAGTGGAGAGGTGAAATATGAAACTAGGAATTGTGTGCTGGGGAGCAAGAAACATTTTACAACGCTATAACGTTATTTTTTCAGCTAGCAGTTTAACCTGATTAAACATTTTACGGTACTTTTTGTGCACTCCTGAGAAGCCTCTTGTGAGCTGTCTCTATTTTCAGATGTTTTTAGGAATCCGTGGAAAATCAGCGGGATAAAGCATGAATTACTCAAAAATAAATAAATAATGAGTAAAGCGATCATTGGCATCTGTCCACAGACATCTGTAGAGCATGTAATGCAGCCCTAGGCTGATGGTTGAGTTCAGTGGCCTTTCAGTGTTCCATAACCTTTCCTCTGCTTACGACATTTTTGACAGCAAAGTAGAGATAGTATCAGTCTGGTTACATTGGTGGAAGGTGAAAATGTCATCGAAGCAATTCGCTTCGAAGTTTCAGAATAAAAAAAACAAAACAAAAATGTATGTAAGATATTTCCATGGCCTTTTACCGAAACCCAAGACGGCATCTTACGGGCCCTACTGTACTCTGACTTCTTTCTGCACTGTGCCATCTTCCTCTACCTTGTAAACACAAAAGAATGAGAGCATTGTTCAGTCTTCGTTCATTCGCTGAGTTTTACATCTGCTCTGCTCAATATTTGCTCAATTTGTAATTATCTGCCTTTATGGAAACAACGTCTGTACTGAGTCATAAAGAATAAGGGCCTGCAGGTATGCTCTTCAGATGTGCCTCAACCTCTCAGTGAGAAAAACCCATGGGACTTTGGAAAAGACAATCTGTATATAATCTAATTATACCATTTCTTCATTGGTAATGGAGTTTGCTGTAAGGAAATCCTAGTGTCTGTTTTGAAATAGCAAAGCAAAATCACCATGCTTCTAGTAACTTATCAGCTCTCTCTGTCTCCTCATCTGGATCTGCCATGGTTGTGTGATGAGCCATCTTGCATTGTATGTGCAATGCAGTGCAAGACAGGTGCACTGTGACGTGATCACTGACTGCATCTTTCAGGCCAGGCTGACCTTTGTCTATGTTTTTTCAGGAGTTCTTGATGTCAAGAGTGACTGGGTGCCAGCGCTCGGACGAGCTGCTCCATCTGTCCCGCTTGGCCCGTTACCACTTCATGTGTCTGAATCAGAACCAGGCCTTCACCCAGAGCAAAGGGCCCAGTCCTTCCTACCCTGTGTTCTGACCTCATCACACAGACCCACCTCAACTGACCAGGCTGCATGGCTTCCATATCCTCAGAGATAGGAGAAACGCTGTCATGCCCCATCAGGTTTTTAAAAAGTAGTAGATGTATGTAATTATCATTCTTTACTCCTGATATTATTCAGTCTCCTCTTGGAAACGGGTGGATGATGAAGTCGAATTTTGTTTAATTTTCTTATCTGCCAAGTCCATCGCTGTGTTTCTAGAGACTACAGTGGCAAGCTGTGCCTGAGTTATTTTAATAATAAACACGGACTGCAATGATAACATTGAGAACGCCATAGAGAATTATTGTATTAAGAAGAATAAATCAGTACTGAATTTGAACTTTTAATATATTTTGTTAAATGACTGTATACTACCTGCCAGTTATTTATTGCAGTAGTTAATGACCGTATGCTTACTGTAAGCACCTCAGGGCAGGGCAGAACATTCCATACAACCATGCAGTGGGAGTTTGTGGGAGTTTCGGAGTGGCTCAGACAGCAAAGCTGTTTCTTTGAAGGAAAAATTTAGCTTTATGATCCAGACATAATGAGTTTGAATCTGGGGCTTATGAGCTACTGGTGTGAGGAAATCCCCATGCAGTGGCCTGCCAGGCTAGGGTGAGCATTGTTTGGACAGGTATCTCTTCCTTTTCTGGCAGGAAAAAAAATTAAATATTTAAAATCAATTGTCATTTATGAAATTAGTCAGGCACAACCATTGCCAGTATCTACTAGATTTTATGCCCCACAAACACACTATAAATTCTCTGGTGCTTGCCAGTGATGTCAGTGCTTTCTGAAATGTCCTGTTGTTCGTTATGAGAAGATGTCCTCATGGGCAAATCTGTGTGTGTATATCAAACATTGACCTTATCTCTTCTTAAGAGGAATTATTTAATTGAGAATTTAATAAAGGATACTGAAGCCTGCGTTCAGAAAGATTTGAAATGTGGATACATTTTCAGTATCCAAAGTAGCTGACACTAGTACTGCTACACATTGATGATGAGTCTATTCAGCAAGATACTCTTGATGTATTTCAATTAAACCTGAAATACATCACATTTTTATGTCTTTGTCTAATGAGTGTAAAGCATAAAGAAAGTCTAAGAATATAAGAACCTTAAAAGGACCTATTTTTGTTTCGTATTGGACATGCTCTTTATAGGCAGTCTTTATAACAATGCATCAAGATCTGCATCATGTATATGCATGCATCATGTCGGCTATAAATGAAAAGAAGGTATTTATCAATTCATTCTGACCAGGAAAGTTATGGAGTGGTAATGAGAATCATAAAGTTCACAGCGTGCTGTGCTCTCTCTCTTGTGCATGTTAGTCTTTACATAACTGCTTTTGAGTTTCTGATAAATGAAGTACTGCACCAGCTAATATGCAAACTCATTTGAGCATTCTTGGTCATAACGGCAGTGCTGTTTCTTTAACATGAAGATAATCTTTCAGTCTGACGCTCTGAGAATGACTGGCCTTGCTGTTTCACTATGAGCAAAGTCATTTCTGAAGCCGGCCTGTTATAACCATTACCAGGAAATTAGCACTTTGGATTTGGCCTTGTTTTTATGTTTCGATTAGAAATCCTTTTAGGTCAAGCCACTGATGCTATAGCTTCGGAAGCATTAAATTATTATGCTTGGAACAATGTACGTTTTCGGGAAACTGTCTTCTGGAGAGTTTTCAAATGCTTAAGATAATCTTTCTTCAGGCATCCATGATATTTAGTTTGACACCTACACTGTACAGTAGGGATTCTCCTTAAACAAATCCAGTCACATTTGATTAAGGTATTGTCTAGTGCTTGATTATGGTATGGTAAATACTGATTTGTTTGCTTAAAATTGATCATGGTACTAACAATCATACAAATTTGACAAGTTCCTTCGCTTTATCACCACCTGATGTAAAAGTGCTATCTCAGACCTGAGAACAGACTTCCTGTTCCCTTTTGCACTTTTTAGGCTGTTCACCTTCTAAATGATCAGGAAGCAATCTAGTTAAGCAGCCGCATAACATAAAGGATTATTTTGGTGCTACTATATTGCGGTATTTACAAATTAATTAGTGGTTTGCTTTTTTATCAGGAAAGGAGCTCCAGTAGTCCAGTATTATTTGTATTTACAGTGCATTTGTATTTGCAAAAGTAGATACTCCCTTAAAATAATGTTCCATTGTGTTGAATTACAAATTATGTATTTGCATTATCTACAGTTGATTTTTCCATCAAAACTTAAATGTTCAAACTGAACACCATTATGGGTCAACAGATAAATGTCACCAAAAGCTGCATAGAAAAATAAAAAACTAAAATACAGTATGTGGGTTGCAAATGCATTAACCATAAGTTAATATTTGATGCACGCATCTTTGGCAGCAATTACATCTGCGAGTGTCTAAGTCTCTACCACCTCTAAATAATGGGATAGTATAGTTTTTGCCTGGTCTTCTTTGCGAACATGCTTAGGTTCTGTTAAGTTGGTTAGGTATCATTAACGGACAGCAATTTTCCAGATTGCCACAGGTGTATCCTATTCAAGTCAGGCATTAACTAGGCTACTTGAGAACATTCACTTACTTCTTGTTCAGCTACTCCAGTGTAGATTTGACTTTGTACTTTGAGTCAATGGCTTTCTAAAAGTTGAATTGCCACTAGACTCTTAGATCTTTAGCAGACTGAAGCAGCCTCCAAGATTGGATTGTGTTTTACTCCAGCCTCATAACATAATGCTGACACCACATATCCACATATTTTCGATTTTAATTTTTCTTTGCAGTTTTTGTAGACATTTAAATTATTTCACATATAAATGTCTTCTAGCACTTCAAGTCTGATTGAAAATATCAATTTAAAAAATTGTAATTGCAGCTTACATTTCTGTTCTGTAAAGAATGTCCACAAAGTCCAAATACTTGTGCACAAGTAAATTTTATATTTAACTCCTAAATTGTACCATATGCATAAAGCATTGTAGTTTTTGAATGACCGACACAGGCGAACACCCACCGATCAATCATAGCTCAGAGCACTGGACTATTGCTCCTCTCTCAATTGTGTACGTGGTATGTTTTGTATTGTCAGAATGGCCATCTGAACTTTGAAACACTGACATCCAATGCAAAATCGTAGACAGAATGATAGAATAATGGATATTGGAACTGAGGAATTCAGTACTTGTCATATGATCATATAAGGAGAGGCTTGCACCTTAGGCAGTGACTAAGCATATTACATGCAAATAATAAAGACGTTTTTGGAAAATGTGGTCTTAATATTTTCCAATGAGCTCTGAACACCTACCTGTCTGTTACTGTGCCTGAGTATTATATAGACTTTATGGGTGTACAGGGTGATGTCAAAGTCTCAGAAGGCTGACCTCATCAATCCCAAAAGAGCGCATAATGATTACATCATACCAGTAGGACTTGTGCCTCCCAAAATCTGTTAAACCTTTTAGTATTCAACTGTAAATCTGAATCTTTTGGAAAAAGGGCATAAAGTGACTGGAGGTTACAAAAACTACTGACAAAATAAGACTTTATTTTTCTTGCAAGACAATTGCCGGGAAAGTCCAAGGCATATACATCACTGTATCTCTGATGTTTCAATTCTGTGTTTTCTGTTTGTGTGTTTTGATTCGAACTTGTTTTTGTCTCTGCTAGGTTTCTGTGACACCTTAAGTAATTTGTCTGCCAAATATAAAAAAGAGTGTTTCTATTAGAATGACTGAAACAATTGTTTTTTTTTTTAAAAACAGCTTTTGTTTTCGGGGTTGGGGAGCAGATTTTTCTGTATTTATTTAATCAGTTTTGATCTGAACAGCTCTGTAGCTGCATTTGAAACATAACTCTCCATTCCCTGAAGCTGTGTATTTACATGGCTTTCTACTTACTCAGGATATGACATTCACTCAGCAGTCGGCCCCTTGATCGACTTACTCCATATAATGCACATTTTTTGATGCAATATTTACACCACTATAATTAGTTGTTCCACACAAAATGTTTGGGCATGTACAATTGTAGCGCTGGGCTGACGTGTTTGTAACATCCTTGCCCTGTGGTTTAAGTGAGGAACGTGGCTCTGCTCCACGCCATCTAGGATGTCTGACAAGATAAAAGCTGTGATGCCATTACTACTGTGATGGAGAGCCACATAAAGGGTTTATGCAATGAAGGATAGTGGTAATTTAACATCTTGCTCTATCAAGCAGAAAAGTATGTAATAGTGGCTGATAAAATGGGCCTTTGTGTAGCAAGTAATTTTATGTACATTACTTGTGTATTTTTGTTTTTTTTTAAAGAGATATGCATTAACATTTAACATGTTTTAGATGCATATAATATATTGACAGATGCTCATTGAGATACAGGGCTATTCAGTGGTCTTATCATAAGAATCGTAATCTTTCATTTGCTTCTTGTGGCCTGAATTGTGCATGCTGTTGGTAGTATTTTTTTGTCCCTTCAGCATTGCACCAGAGTCTTGCTTCCCATGAGCTGGCTTATATCAGAGGTGTATTTTGTTATAGGAGAGCCAACTGAGGAAAGGGTCTGTAACTGCATTACAAGGAGTCTTGGGATACGTGACCACATGCTAGATCATTTGAATAGGATGGGTCACACCTACTGAACATGATCTTTAACAGGCTCACAAGGAGTATGTGAGCAATTATAGTCACAGTCATCAGACTGGCAGTGGATGAATTAATTGGTTTATTTTAAGTTCAGAAGTACAGTAGCCCTCAATGATATCAACTGCTCCATTATAGCACAGCAAATGCCATGTGATCCATTCATATCCAGTTCATATACTAGAGTCATTGCTGACCTGTTGAAAGGACTGGTAAAGTAGATTCATCAGAAGCCATTGCTCATTACAAGATAAAGAAAAAAATTATCCACACAAAAACCATATAGATACATTTACATGGAAGGTTGGAAATGAATATGAGAAAATGTTACTTATTTTGTCCACATTGTTAAATTTCCTTCGTATCTAATTTATCTTTTAACTGAGTGCAGTACCCTGAACTGCGTAACAGAGTGTTCAGTTTTACTCAGAAGACATGCTAACAGAGAAGATACTGTACAAGGCCAGAGCAAGATGCTTAGTTGTCATTAACCTTTTTGTCTCAGATTTATCAGCTGTTTTATTTTGTATCAACTGTTTGTACATTTGAGACCTAATCGATGCTCATTCTGATGTTTCATATACGTCTAAGCTATATTCACTATGCACCAAGATCTGGTTCGTAGTACTGCAAATTCCCTTACCTGTCCCTTTTTATCTAATACATAGATATAGAGTAGTAGCCTCATATACTTAAAATTTGTTTAGGGTTATTTACACCAGTATCCAAATACAGAGCTGAAGTGACTGGGCATCTGATGGTTATCTCAAATCTCGAGTATTAAAGAGAGCCTCATGAGATCACTCTATAACTGGATGCAGCTTTATGGAGTTGGAAGGAAGAGGTCTACAAAGCCACAATAATGATTTGGTGTCTTGCTTAGTACAGGTAACTGATATGAATTCACTGCTTGCAGGCATGCGGCATGTATCCTGTAGCTGAGTGAGGGTGTGCAGTTTAGTTGTCCTCAGCTCTTAGCATGATGAGACTGATCAACCCCAATCAGGTTTTCCACTTTGTGTTTTCTGTTTTATCACTTTGTGTGTACTTTTTAATTTGACATCATCATCATTAATCTGGATTGAGAGGATTTGAGAGTTTCATGGGTTAGATGACTTAATGCTATGAGTGACTGAGGCAAAGATTTTAATTTTTTTTGTTACGTTGGTAGAAGCCTTTTTTAATGCAACTTCATTAAAAAGCAAAGAATTTGGAATGTACCCACATATTCTTTCACAAAGACCACAGCTTCTCTTGAACAGTGACATGATCTAATTTGTCATTTCTGGTAGTGAATTAACCAACTCGTCCAATGTGGTTTCTCTTTCTGACGTCATTTTCTTGCTATTCTTTTTGTAGAATAAGTGTTTGAAGTGGGGAAATGCAGAAAACCCACCTTTGATTTTTTTAAGGCTCTATTTGGTGTGAATATGACATCGCAGAAAAGGAGTGTTAATTTTCTTTCACATGTATACATTCTGAATTGCTGATTGTTTGCCCCAGCTTGCAAGATTGTGGAATACCTGAATGGTGTCTAATATTAAATGGTGTTTAATATGTCTTATACCTCCAGCCATCCACCCCAAAACTTACTCATGTTTTGCCAAATAGGCATCATCAACAGGTCTTTGCACTTTCTTGAACAATAATCATGTTAGTGGGTGCGGTGCATTTAGGATTTAGAATGGACCACATTAGGAGTGGTGAGTATCAGGATGTAATTGCCTACCCATATCTATCAGGAAATGACGGACCCTGATTGTAATTAATCACCTACTTGCATGGTGGATCAAATGGCCTCCTGTTGTTTCTATTCATTTTTGTGCTCTTATCTAAGCAACCAACTGAAAGTGCCATGGACTATATCAGCACACTAGATTTATGTCACTAATTCTTGAACAAGGGATGATATATTAATATTCATATTTGCTAAAAGTCCCAGAAAGGACCCAGTACTGATGGGTCTCCTCGATGATCCAGAGGATGGCTGTGTGCTAAAAGAAGCAACAGCTGTGCATGCATGGAGCTCAGCTCACAGCTCTTTTATGAAAAGTCCAGAACTCAATGCTTGCACATAGCAATGACAACTGCTATTTTGTAGCCATTATTGCAGTGCTAGGTTGTACATGAATGTGTTGTACATGAATGAGCTCACAATAAAGGTTGTTTGCAATAGTAAATGGTTTATGGGCAAGTGCAACTAGTGGATTATGTGTAGAAACAATGGGATAATGTGTAATTACAGAATATGAGCTCGGTGTCATTGTGGGGAGAGTACATCTACAGCATTCTTGTGTAGTTGTATGGGTTCCTGTAGGAGTGGTGTGAAAACAGTATGTGTGGGTAGATGTCTGGTATATAATGTTTATGTACTGTATACTGGTTGTATGTTTTGATAGTTTCTGAGTATGCAAAGCATTGCTGCTTTGATGTAATACATATTTCTGAGAAATCTGACGCCGTAGAATTATTGTATTGTTTTATGAAGATGTGCCTGAAAAGAGTAATATTCTCACTGATTGTGAAAAATGTAAATAGGGAATTCCACTCTGGAATGTACCACGAAAGTAGCTTGTCTAGCTTCCTAGCTTGAACACATTGGGTACAGTATTCAAACCATTGTCACTTCTTATGTAGAAACGGTGGGGATTCAAATATGTAAAAGTTTTGAATTTAGGGCCCATTAAATAGCAAAAAGAGCAGTACAGAATGGATTGTCAAGCCAAAAAACAACTTCAGTGGGTTTTCAGAGATGTCCAGAGATGTATTTTGCACATACAACACATATTGGCATGATCAGTTTAATTCCGTCCCAGTTCAGGACCAGTGATAAATGCACGGTGATGAATGATTCTTCATTGTCTTATCACATTAACCAAAGACCGCCAACAGTGTCCCGACCACCAACCAAGTTTATTTGTGACATCCTTTAAAGGTATGGCCAAGGAAGTCTTTCTTCTCCTCACATGGCGCACTGGTAAGTATTAAAATAATTAATTATAATTAAAGCTGGGACACAGCAGCTTAAATTAATTGGTATTGCTTGAACAGTGAAGGCAAGTCATGTAAATGGCCATTCACAAATTTCATCAATTTTAAATGAAAAAAACTCATGTTTTACAAGGTCTGTAAGCACTTTATAATGAATAAGGTTCTGCTAGGTTCTACTGTAGTATACCCTATATACACCTGCTATAAAGATTATGGGTCAGCACGTGAATAAATCTGATTTCTCACTTATCTGCTTCCCAGACCCCCTCCCTCCCACCTGCATCTTCCTCTCTTTCAAGATATAAATCAGCCTGTGAAGTTTTCATCACACTCACGTTTCGTATTCATGACTCAAACTCCTTTGTATCCTTGGACTGTCTGTGCCAATAACAACTTATCAGGCTGGTTAATATACTGAGCGGCATCACCAGTGCGCCGAGTGAATATGAGAACCCACAGCTCTCTGTTTTTAATGCCTCCTGGTATGCTTTGGATGGCTGCTCTTCACCTCCAGCCAGGCAATACCAAGCCTGCACATGTGTGATGCAGTATCACTGAACCAGGCAGTGGGATTGCATCTGTGGCATAAAAACGCACAACAGGGTCCTGGGAAATAGTTTTACTGGAAAGATTTTCCAGTGATCGATCACAGCTAACCTACAATTGCTACAAGAAGGTTGTCGGGTGAATGAATGCTGAATAGCAGAGAGCTTATGACAAGTGCCTGTATCTGTCTGTACACACTGTTAAATATGCACCGTCAATGCAAATCAAATTCAGAGAACTGAGAGATCCCCTTAGCAAGCATGACGTTCCTCAATTTCACCCCATAATTGAAAAGTGCAAGGGCTGTCCTGTGTAACAATAAATCTCTAGTAAATCTCTTTTTTACTGAAATGATGGTATCATTAAGTGTCAAGAGCTTGGGTTTAACTCTTCATTTGAGATTTTATCTCACCACAGTTTACCCACGAGCACCCCACTCCCCTCCTAATATAAAAAGCAGCTGTGGTGCAAATTTCACTTTCATTAGACGTGCACATCAATAGATAATACAGTTTTATTCTCTCACTTATGACTTTTTGTATTTCAGATGTCACTGACTGAAATGCTATTGATGTAATTTAAAGGGCAAAATCGTACTGTGTACAGTATGGCATTTGCATATAGGAAATACAACATTTTACTACTTTTTAACACATTACTTTGTCCTTTGGTTTGCATTCCAGCTGAGCTTTTGATCAATTATGCTGATTGAGCTCATTGATTGATCAACTTTTTTCACTTGGACTTAGTCTCATAAATAATCTTTTTTTATGTGCCTCCTTTTCTAGAGGTATATTGAGCAGAACTACATTTCAACGTGGTTTAAAATTGTTGTTTCCCTCTGGCTTTCTAGGCACCTTGTAATGTTTGTCTATTAATGATGTGCCGACACAGGCAGGGATGATACTGTCAAACGCAAACAAACATTCCCTGTGCTGCATGGGCTCATAGATCACATTCAACCAAGGGATTAAAAAAGAAGCTACAGTAAGTGTGAGGAGAACTGACACCCAGCCTCTGTCTATCGTTTAATTCTGATTATATAGCAAAAAAACTGTTTGTCATGACTCATCTATGGGTTCTGCGACGTCATAAAGAGAAGAATGAGAAAGTGCAGACAAGTGCCTCTGATACACATACCCCTGAGCCTGCTGACACCACATGGGTATCACTGGACTAAAACATCTCTGGCTGATTCCATCCTACACTCAGCCCAGTACACCTGAATCCTAGGGCCTACCTGTGCCCAGGTGAGCACCTTTACCAATTGAACTGCTTGTACAACCCCCTCTTGCTGGTTTCTAATGCCAGCATACAGATCAATGTAAGAGCTCAATGAGCCAGACTAACAGTTCAGTTGGGAGGAATACCACAGAACACTGGAGTCCTTCGGGAGTTTGGCAATACTGCTAAAGGGAAAATTGGGTTTCTCTTGTACGAGACGTTTGAACTCTGCCTCCTGGGTCAGAATTTCCAAACCATTGCCAGGTATGGTGATTAGGGAAATTGTGCTGGAAGACAAAAGCTGTCCTTTGGATGATATCAAGGCCCTGTGGATCTAGTGTCTTGGCTAAATTGCACTACAGGTTGGCTCAGTCTGTCCTCCAGCAATTGTCCCATTATCCCATCCCGATCATCAATTAAACTGGTTTCATTTCTGCACCTGCCCATGTGTGCAGTGCCATTTTAAAGGGGTAACCCTGTGGGGTACCCTCCACTCCTTTTGGTAAACAGTTTTGGGATGAAATGCCATTAATACATTGATCTCATCTCAGTTTGGCCAAAAATGTGTATGGTGAAAATAAATAGTTTCAATTTTGTATTTAATTTCACTCCTTGGTGCTGTAAATCTCTTCGGTGGGTAAACAAGCCTAGACAGGTTTGATTTGCACCGAGGTCAAAGACACTCAAGTGTCCTGAAAATGTATTTCCTGTATATTAGCAGGATTCTTAGAATACAGTATTTCTCATTCTAGCCGCCGTTTTCCCCCTTGCTAATTACAGAAAAAAGGAAAGTGTAATTGGGGACATTTTGTGCTATGGCATCTTGTACAGTAAGACTGCGGGTTTCTGTGAAGCTGTATGTTAACTTGTCTCTGTGGGATTCCTAGTGATCTGTATCTTGTGTGGAATTCTGTGCGCTTCAGTCATTCCTGTAAGCTTTGTATTGGTAAACAAGTCATTCCTGTAAGCTTTGTATTGGTAAACAAAGTAAACAATTTTTAAAGTAAAAAGCCTTTTGAAATGTATTCAAATACTTGAATGCCCCATTTCTTTCACTTCTTTTGAATGAAAGATCTCATGTGTTGTGGTCAATATTAAAACCTCAAGGGATTTTGTTTCTGCCCATAGGTCATTAACACATGTGAACACCATCAAGAGGGGTGGTCCCTGCTTCTATACCGACATAATTCCTGGAATCTTGACTGATTCGTTTTTTTGCTTTGGGCTAAAAAATATAAACTTTTTTTGAACTTGTGGTTTTGCATCTTGGAACACAGTAACGTGTGAATGAATGATATTGTGTTTGCTGTTTGATAGTCTTTTCACTTCTCCATTTGTGTGCCTGAGCAAGGCCAACATTTCAGCGAGGTGTTTGATGTTTTCTGGGTGCAGAAACGTTTTTTTTTCTCAGTCAGATTTATCTGAAAAGCAGGTAATCAAAGTTATACCTTCCGCCCGTCTTCAAAGTTTCTGTCCAGTTGTTACAATCCAGTTAAAACAACAGCAGGTTGTATCCTCATTTTAAAATCTAGACCAGCTTTGCTAATGATAATTTTACTATAAAAGTCCAAGATTGATAATATTGAAGATTCCTCTGCATAAACTCCTGTCTGTCAGAGATAGCAGAAAAATGGTTGCTGAACATCCATGAAAAAGCAGATTATTTAATGGTATTGTAACGCTTACGGCCGACAGGCACTGTGTAAGAGCAGGCGTACCAGAGCAGGTGACGTCACCGCCCTTCCCTGTGATAGCAGGACTACAGCTACTGGGCTGTGCAGAGATCTCTCTTTGGTTCACCGGGCTGGGTCGCTGCTGAGTGACGCGGGAGTCCCGGGTTCGAGCCCCCGACGGTGGGGGGGCCGACCTAATGCGGCAAGGGCGCCCGCCTGAGCCCCCGTTGCGTTACAGTATGTTGTCCATTATATACTTCTAGTTCCATTTTGTACGGAGCGATGACTTTAAGCAACAGATAACACCGAAGGCATTACAAAGTGTTACTTTTATTCCGCTTGCTTTCATTTGTGCCTCATTTTTACCGTGTTGCATCACAGCACAAGACAGTTCGAGTCGTGCGCAAATGGCCAGGATAGATTCGCATGCCTGGCTTCTGTACTTCTCTATCCATGGGCTGCCTGTCTTCAGACTTCCGTGACTCAATACTCACTTAACGACTTGCCTTCTGTACACACCTTACCTGCTCTTCTGCAGGATGCGCTTTCAGACTCAGTGCCGGGGAGCGTGGGCGAGTTGACATATAGACTTACGGGGAATTCTAAAGTTTTATCGACCTCACCATAACATTCAAAAGAACACGTTTTCCTTCAAAATTATCACGATCATTATTAGCTGTCGTCGTCGCCGCGGCGGTGTTATTTTAAACCGAACTTTTATTTCAAAAGGTATATAAACAAAGGCTTTAACACGCCTTCGTTGTTTAGCATTTTTTAGCTGTACAGTAAGTAGGAGAAAACTAAAAATACGCCTATTACAAGAATGTTAAGAAACTCCTTAAATTAATAAACTCGCATTGTGATTTTTGAACTATCATTCTTTAAGCAAAGCGTGACTTTCATATTCATTTTATGATATACATATAGCTTTTTCAAGTATGAATGTGAGACTGAACACTGAAAACAAAACACGATGCACTAACAACAGTCGATCGAAATTACTTCGCTTTAATAATAATAATACACCAGACTCCGGGAAATTCCTCCTGGTCTCTGACAAAAATCGTAACCTCTTTCTGAATAAAAGTACGACTATAACGCCCACATGCTCCCAGCCTCATACTGCGGCCGTAAGTTCGACTTCACCTGCAGATACATTTGCTGAAAGCGTTGTATGATGCGCATGAAAAATACGTTTCCCAGAGTGCTCAAAAGAATGTAAAATTCCCAGCAGTACATGCTGGGAGGTGTAGTTTATCAATATCGATGCATCTGGTGGTACTTGTAATGTGTCACAGCTGCGCAACTCAAGATAAACGAACCTGCAAAAATGACATCTCACGCTCGCATAGGAATTCTTAAATTAGCTTCACTTTATACCGTCTCTGACTTATTTTCTCTTCTGATGGAGGAAGGCGCATGTAAAACGCTTCGTGAATTATTTTCTTTGAAAGGTACTTTGAAAATAATTTTGCGCCAGAACATACCAAAAATAAGTACTTTATATGCACGGGCTGACTCGCAGTGATCCGTTTTATTGACGGAATTTCCATCCATCATTAGTAATCCGCCTCTTGCGACCAGCTCAAATTTGGGACGTCAGGATCGCTTACGGAATGTAAGATATAGTTTAAGGATGAGAGGCTGTATGGTACTTTTCATTACAGACCTGCGACCGCACAGTAGTGCTGTTATTCGTGTGAAAGTTAGCTGTCACATGCACGCACCCGATTCTCCAGTGACCAGAGCTCTGCTACGCTCTGTACTTAACAGTTTGCTGAAACCTCTACGCTTTTTGGCAAAGGTTGTGGTTTTGAACTTTCGGGTCTAGAGTTTAAATCGCTGTCGGGACGGTACGAGGTAGAAATCACTATTGATAAATGCTCTTTTTCTAGATCAATAGGTACATGCTCTGTTGTATAAATTGCTGAGCTTTCCTGTTCGTCACTGTACATGCGATTTCTTAATTGAATTATCGGGCTAAATAAAGGATTCTGTGTATGTCCACTGCTTTAAGTTTTCGATAAAAGGGTTTCGATCCCTATGTCCACGTAAAAAAAGTAACAGGCCTTGATGCTTCTACTTCTTTTACGTATTTATATCTAAAACTACATCTCTCTATTAACTAACCTTTTCTTTTTCCTAACTATGTAGCGCTGTCACTGACTGATTCTGTCTGTGTGAAGTTTGCATGTTCTCTCCTACGTGTTCGCTAATGTTATCTCCGGGTGCTCTCTGCGCCGCAAAACTTAATGCATGGTTTAAAGATGTTCCATAATTATGGAATGTAAGTTTCATTATTTCCATTATTAGTGATTGTGCATCAGATGATGCCGAGAATGACGATTTTTTTTTTGCTTCGGTATCGATCGATGGTTTCAGAATTTCGTCAGTTGCACATGTCCATTAACGCACAAAAGGACCAGGTACACTATCTCAAAAGCGCGTAAGACACCGTACTCTCCATCTCCTTCTCTCCCCGTAGCGATGTCCAAAGTTCCCCGAAGTCCCCGTGATACCTGAAAAGTTTTGCCGATGTGACTTTTTCCTGAGCAGGTCTTAATACTGGTCCCCATCTTTCATTGATCAGTCATCTTGTACCGCCCACGCGGCACAATACAAATAAGCTCTATGGCCGGGATGTTTAACAGACAGCTCGCCTGACTCGCTGAGGACCACACTTGAGAACTTTTTGTAGATGTAATTAGGGCTTTTGCATACTATTAAATATGACTGAAACCTACGGCCGAAGGATTTTAAGTGCACTTAAATAAATGAAAATATTTCATTTTAAGGAAAAATAATCCGTCTGGATATATGCTAATGAAAGCATATTACGCGCCTGTTTGGACTTTTCTGCTGATTTCTGATTTGTCTAGATCGCCATGGGCTCCCGCCGCTCTTTCCCACTACCTCTGATAATCGTCCTGCCGTTCTCCACTCTGCTCAGCGTGGTAAGTCACTGTGTTTGACCTGGCGCGTAGCTTGCGCCGACCTGCCTTGAACGAGTTATCAATGAATGGCATACCTGCTCTCCTTGAGCGTTAACGATGTGTTGCAGTTTCAATTTGAAAAGCAAATGAGTTTCGTCTGAAAACAATGTTGATTTGGGACGAGCGTGAATTGCATGACTCCGTTGTGATTTAGAGGTGGACAGCAGCTTCGGGTCTGTTAACTTTCAATTAAAAAAAAGTTTGCAATTCGTTTCTGTTACCTCGGTGTGCAGATTGACATTTCAGAAATGATTCTGCGACAGGTCGGAGAGACTGAATTCTTTGCTGTTTTAGCCATCCTGTTGCAGCGTTTGTGTTCTGCATCGCGTTATTGTAACGCCAGAAGCCTTTAATTACTGTAAGGCAACGGGGTAAATTCATCTGGAAATTTTCGCCTTGTGTGCGGAGTATTTCCTGTTAAACCTGCGCGATGTTCCTGGCGCGATGTTTCGCTTCTGTGATTCACATAAGGACTATACACAGGTGATCGGCTGAACACAACACTATCCTGTGAAACGATGTCAGTGCATTTCGTTGTAGTGCAACATGAGTCTGGTCGGAGTCTTGTAGCTGTTAGTAAGGTGTTCAAATCGTAAGAGCTTTGGAAGTTTTTTTAATTCTAATTTTAGCAGCACTTAAGGAAGTTTTGTGCGTCTTTTCGTTATGACTTCCTTTCATGACAGAAACGTTATTACCTTTATCAGGATACATATGTGTATGCATTCTGGTGATAGTGGTGGTTTTTTTTGCAAATTTCCCCTAAGCAGATCGACTGGCAGTGACAAGCTGGTCGCCTGAGGTAGGGAATTAATGACTGTGAAAATATACCGACGGTATTTTAGTTTAAAATATGCTCGAATGCTAAGTATTTTTTCCCTGCCACTCCATGACAGAAATCAGAATTGACCCTATCTCTGTTTTTATCTTTTTCCTTACCTCTTGAGTCATTATGGTCCCGTAAACAAGCCGTCGGTTATAATAAACAAGGTCGCTATTACTTTGCATCATGACCATCCGGATTCATACCGTTAACTTAACGGATGAAGTTATAGACTGTGGGAAATCAATGAGCAGCGCTCTGAGTCAAGATGTGCTTCTTCATTGAGAGGAATTATGTAATTAGAGTATTGGTAAACTGATTTTTTTTTCAAAATCACACAGAGGATTAAAGTTAAGTTTCCATACAGCCCCAATTTGACCTTGTTCTTGAAATTCACATTATTGCACGCTGTAAGAAGGTATAGGACAGTTCACGCCTGAGCCTGTCAGGAGGTTCATTCATCCATTCATTCCTTTTCAAACTGCTTCATCCAGTTCAGGGTTGCAGGGCAGCCTATCCCACAAAGCAACAGGTGCAAGCCAGGACACACCCTGGATGGGACGCTTGTCCATCACAGGGCACATATAGACACGGAGACACACTCACACCAGGGCCAGTTCTCCCAGAAGTCAGTTAACCCACCAGCATGTCTTTGGACTGTGGGAGGAAACTGGAGCACCCGGAGGAAACCTACCTGAACGCAGGGGGAACATACAGTACAAACTCCAGGCAAGATGGCACCCTAGGGCCCCAGCACTGTGAGGAAGCAATGCTAACCTCTGCACCACAGGTGGTTCTTGATGCATAGTAAAAGATGGCATATTTGTGTAGCAGGACACTGCCTATTAAATCCAGTTGAAGATCTGCATGGCTAGTGTCAGCAGGGAGGTATTCCAGCTCACAGTGAGTCACGGCACCACAATTCATGTACTTTCTGGACATTCAAAGCCAACAAAGCCCCCCACCCTGACAGCTGGCGCAGAATGAGGCGGAGTGGGAGCAAGGGGACTATGGGAACTATCAGACGTCACAGTGTGATTTCACAAACCAGGAACTCCTAAGTGCGCTGCAGGCGCGGACACATATTCCTTGCAGCTAAAAGCCGGTCGTTCACGAGTCCTGGTTCTCACGTTCGCGTTTGTTGGAATGATTTACAAGCTACAACAAAATATGTCCCAAGTCTCAGTGGAGGGGGGATGCGATTTCAGCCACTTAATGTCACTTAATGAGGCTTTAAGGAACCACAGCTTCTACCTGATACAATGAGATGCTCCAGAATGACTTTTTTCTGTAGGATCCAGTGGTAATCTGTGCATAGGACAGATTCCAATAACGCTCCATTAGCAACAGTAAGTGCTACAGGCGATCCGTGTGTTCCACAAGCCAGTTTAATTCAAAGTATTCATATTTTTTTATTTTGGCAGACATTCTCTGATTCTTGCATATTAATCACCTAGATAAGCCTGTACAGATGGATACATATTAAAGAAACAAAATGCACACTCCTTTTCACAGAGAAGAATTGCCAGTCTTCCCAACCTAAAGGCAGCAAAAGAAAACACCTCAAAAGTAATTTCATAATTGAACAGAGAACCTCCAGGGCACATTCACTGCTAAGACCAGAAGGGAAAAGAACAAGAAAATGAAAATGAAGAAGGTGCAATTTTCATATTATTTTTACAACATGTGTACCATAAATGTTGTCTTGTACTTCCCCCTCCCTGCAAAATAAAAGCAGAAAACAATAAATCTGATTAAAACTGTGTTGTGAAACTCTGTAGGAGGTCGAAATACTGAGATGAGTGGCAAGACAAGAAAGAGAAATTCACAAGTGCTCAAGCACATCGAGTGGACTCATGCAATTTTACTCTAGATGTCCTTTTGCTCCTCATCAACATTGCCTTTTTAGCCACTCAGAAGAGAGTCCACTGGCTTTATCTGTTATAGGGTGATTCCATTATGGCCAGCCACATACAATAGTTACAGAAAGGTCTGAGTCAATCCACACCATGTGTAATAGAACACCAGTCCAAAGCAATCTTATCTTTAGATGGTCAGAGCATCTTGTTCTGCTGTCTAATTATAGTATTTGAAGATGAGTGGTCATTTTATTTGGTATCACACTCTTTGCAATATTTTCCTCCTCAGCCCTTTACAGATTTCTCTAGCAGTAAAAAAAAATATGACCAGAGGAAAACCCAGGGAGAGATAAGAACTCTCTAGGGGTCCCAGGGCCAACAGCTGCCCTCCTTCAAGATAAACTGTCTGTGGCCCATGAATAATGATGGATTGTGGGTAGTTTATAAAACGTCCAGGACTGAAGTCCCAACTTCTTGTGTTTGTCATCAAGGGTATCCAAGTGTCCAAGTGAAATTAAGCAGTCTATAGTTCGGAAACTATTTTATTAGCTTGCTTTTGTCATCTCTCTCTCAGTTTTGTTCCTAGCTGTAGTGCCAGGTGTTGGCTCAAACATGTCTTGGCTGTAAATGAACAGTAATTGTGATGAGAAAAACCTTGCAGCCTACAGTTAAGGTATTTGGTAAATACTTTTTTTATGGAGGAATTTGTCCAGGATGTAGGTTTTAAGAATCAGATGTTTGTAACACTGTCAAGTAAGCTTTTTGTAAATCAGATGGAGTTTAGTAGTTGTCTTACATTGCTTTCTTTTTCCACAGGTAGTTTTAAACTCAGTTTAAACAAATGAGAAGGCACACCTGTTGATTATAAGGCTGCGGTCTCTTCTTTAAATATGTTCATGCACAGTCTTGTCTCTTTCCAGATTTCCAGTATATGTTTCTCCCTATTTTATGGCAGTATTAGATGTTTCATTCCAAAGTAGTCCTGCTGAAAAAGTCTAGAATGCTTGTTTCACACTGTGCTGCACTGCACTAGTGATTTTTGGCAGTCATTCAATATTGCTTTGTAGAGGATATTTGTGGGCTATTTGTGGTACCCAAAGGTGTGGAAGATCTTTGAAATAGTCTTTTCTTTTGCTGTTGTGGGTTGTTGAGGCCCAGTCCTTCCAGGGTTTAAAATTAAAAACAAATCTAATAACTATGGAAGAAAAAGAGCTTTATTGAGTTAGATTGATTTCCTGGCATTAAATGCTAGATTTGGGAATTGAGTGCCTGACTTTGGGGATTGGTGTTGCTCAGATGGGAAGAAAGCTGTTCTTGGAATAAATGTCAGCATCGTTATATTTTGAGCTTTAGGTATTTATTTTGCATAATATTTTTCCTTTGCCAGGAAATTTGACTTGAGATAAAAAAAGTCATTTCTGCTTAGTTTTTTTTTAATACAATTTATAGCAACTCATTTTTTTCTGAGAAAATGTACTGAGTCAGGCCCACTGGATCCAGGCCTTTGAACTTATAAATTCATGGGAGAACTGGAAACTCACAAAACTCTAAAGACAATCTTTCAATAAGCAGTTTTTCATAACTTTATTTTAAGTCCTATCTCTATTACGAATGTATAATCTGATACAAATACAGTACTGTGTTTGTCTTCCATGTGCAACTCTCAAACAGAGAGATCTCCACTTCCTTCTGGGACTGCTCCTGGTTGGTTTAGGCTATACTGTACCCCTTGAGTACATTCGCATATGGGCAAACTTAGATCACTCTTCAATTAATGACTCTCCATACTACCTATGTGTGTGCATTAGAATGTAGGATTTGTGTATTTATGTGGAATATCTTTATGAATATAAACAGTTTAAGACACAAATAAATTATGCTTGGCTTGCTCTTTCATTTTGTATAATTGGCAAGGCATGTTAAGTGAAGAATTTTGTGAATGTCCACTTTGAAAAGCGATTAACTGCATAATAAATAAAGAAATTATTACTATTTACATTCCTACATAAATATGCCACTTCAAAGGAAATTAATTACATGAGCGAAGGGCTTGATTTAAATCTTAGGTGAGGATTGAGTTAAACCAAGGTAGCCTACGTACAAAAGAGCTTTTCATGCTTTCTCTATTTAGAATGGCAGTACTAAGCATGTTACTTAGTACTAATGCCAAAGTACGCAGATTAAAAATATTTCTCATATAAATTCATGGGGTGCCTCTTGAGCAACCTAAAGCAGACATACAAAGCTGAGCATGTAGAATTCATGCAGGAGATAACAAAAGGTCAATGGATGTGTACATCTCTCTAGAAAAAAGGTATTGTATCTTGTGACAGTTATTTTTTTTATATTTTAAAAAATATGTACAAATCAGATATAGCAATAGACTTTACATAATGGATGAAGAAAAAATAGAAACTGGTGCAAAATCAATGACTCTTGGTGTGTGAATTTCAAGAAAAGGAGCAGGTTACACAGTCTCCCATGCTAATTATTGATATCAGGATGTCAAGGTTTGTAGAATGTATTCACTAGCCACTTTGTATGCCCATTTTCTGCCAGACGATGGCTACACCCAGCTTGTGGGTTTGACCATCAGATGATCAGGAAAACATACGAATGATTACAAATGAGAAGAAGCCATTTGCTAATTCATCAGAGAAACTCATCCATTTATCTCTTGAAAGAAACTTCAGCAACATGGCTGGGTGTTTGTTTCCTGTTTATTCCCTTATATTATTCCCTATACACAGTATATTCAAAGAAGTGTCTCCTGTTCTCAGTTTTAAATACACTTCCATGAAATTTCCACTTGTGTTCTCTGGTTATCATTATTTCAGTATGTTTTAGGTAACTTAAGATCAAATGCAACCTCAACAAGGAAACAAGCTGCCCGCCCTGCCTGAGACTGCATACTTTGATACCTAGTGATCAGCAATACTGTACACTATTAGCCATGCTGATCAATCAGAGAATTTGTCTTTCTCTGGCAGAAGTATCTAGAAATACAACTGTAATGTATATTGCTGAAGCCAGACAGTTTGCCAATACACTTAAGATAACTATCTCATCTCAAAAGCTTCATCCTCCACTGTAAGCCTCTATATCCTTATCTGTTATAGAACAGCACACCTGAGCTAGACATCTCCTCATCTTTAATGTGCACTATCTTATGTGATTTCCGACGCTTTGCAGAGATAGCGCAAGCTAATACTTGAGCAGGAGACTTGGAATTGCTGGACTAAGGAGGCGTTTTCAAGCCCTGTTTATCTCATAACCGAATCAATGTTCTTTGCACCGATCTTCACTCAAGGCCACCATTCCTGTGTGTGGATGTTTAAAATATTTGTTTTAACTGGAGGTTCCCCTGTAGACTACATGAGGCGTGGCAAATGTTGAGAAAGGGATATGAGTCGACAACCAACGCAACACCACCAAGTAAATGTAAACCTCATGTATATATAATATAGTAAGTTGACCGAGGCTGTCAAAACATCCTGGTGCAAATGTATTCTCAGAAAGCCATTAAAAGGTTTTGTATGGGCTGGGAAAGGGGGGTCTTGGCTCCTAATCCAGGTTGTCAAGGCAGTGCACATGTAAAAAAGTCCCTGAAATCATGCTTTGAAACAGATTCAAGCATTAGGAATCTGCATGTCTCAACTACCATCCTGCTAAAGAGAACTGTAAAGACACTATTCTTAATAGACCCTTCTTTCTCTAGGACAAAGAGGACAAAGAGTAGAAGGGTGTTTCATTAGTTGAAACAAGACACTGTACACATACTGTTAAAACAGGTACAGGTGGTGTAGTATATACCGTAATACTGTAATTATACAGCAAGTCTCATAAATTTGCAGTCTGTTTTTGATCATTAATTGTCTATTGTCTTTTTTGATAAACGTATTGTCTGTGCTCTCCAGTGCTCTCCAGTGTTAGATGCACTCACTGCTCTGTGGCACAGGGTGTGAGACAGCACTGCTGTTCCAGTAAAGTCCTGCTGCTTTTACTGGCATATATCATCATCTAGTTTCTGTTTACAAGGAGCCCAATCTAATTATCTGACATACCCAAGAGCTAAACCACAGATAAACAAACAAACAGGAAGCTCGTTTTGCCCAGCTGCTATCATTAATAATAGGCTTCCTTTTGTGTGTGTGAGAGGAGAAAATAAACTGCAGTCACAGCTTACAAAAGATGGGTTTGGATTTACTGTTCATTTCTATTTTCTTCATAACACAGCATTCTTCTGTCAGGGGGAAACTGCTTACCAACTCATTTCACTTTCTACTTATTAAAGTGAGAAACGAGCTGATCCATTACAGGCTGTTTATCCTTCTGTTTCTCTGAACTGAAAATAATTTCATGATTGCTTACAGAGGTGGCTGAACGAGCTTTTTTTCCAATGAGGTACAGTGTATGACCCTAGGGAAAAAGACAAGCGGTGTCACATGAAGTTTCCCACATCTTCAGTGCAGTCCTAGCAAATTGACAAAAATCAGGAACAGACCCTACAAAATGGACTCCTGATAAGAACTGTGTACTGTAAGAACGTGCCTGTATTTACAGGGAAATCCCTTACAGTAATTGTCACACACTCCTTTGGAATCACTATGTTCTGAGGAATTTCCTCTTGCCAGTACTAGCAGGGTTGATTCAATGAGTGATGAATGAGACCTTTTCTCTGTAAGATTAGTAATTAATTAAAATGAAAATCTAAATGAAAACAATTCTTAGTTTCCTTTTGCAGATACTAAACAGCAGATAAAGTCATTTTAAGTGTCCGATTGATTTCAGTGGGAAATATAGAGAACCAGAACACCAGGGATCCCATGCAATCTTTTGTGACCAAGTAACCAGGAAGATCAACCGGTGAAGACACACCCTGTGTGCAGTCTGGGCTCTATTATCTAGATGTTGCGGGTTTGAACCTGGGTCACATCACTAGCTGGCTGTGACCAGGATTCCTCAAGTAGCTCCATCCGAATCCCTGGGTGAAGGGATGGGATTAGTCTAGCAGGAGTCTCCTGCCTCCCAGTTCAACAGCAACCCCTGCAGATGCCGTCAAGCGAAACTGCTCTGCTCTCATTGGTGCTGAACATTGTCTACATCTCTGTGGAGCCTGTTGCCTGTCAAATGCTGAATGGCTGAATGGCTTGCCATTGCTGGACCACTGGTGTACATCCTTTCTCCCCATGCAGGTACAGGGGGCATTGCTGTGAGTCCAGAAGTGAAGGTAAAATAGGCGTTTCACAAGTGTCGCTGCTTCTCTACTGTACCAGCCCTCAGCCCTCTTCTTCCGAGAAGACTTCATATACAGGCTTCTAGGGTGTAACATGCTATTAGTATTTATAATGGCTTACGCAAATATCACTGTGGGTTTTTTTTTCATAAATGAATACAGGTTTTTCTTGACACGCGTGCTCGCCTTTTCTTGAACAGAAGCAACAGTGTTGTGCAAGAGGTGCCTCTGAATCATTAATGAGTGTTTGGTTCGAGATCAGAAGTAGTAATCGTGGTAGTTTCAGACAGGAAGGGTGCCTCCCCTTGCTGACAGTCTCAGATATGCTGCAGGGCAGCAGAAGAATCCCACCTCTGGCCAAGAGCTTCCGTTTCTTCACACATGAAAAGAATACAGTAGTGTGTTCGAGGGGGGGAAGGTTAGCCCTCACTTGTGGTTGTCTAGTAAAACATTGATTGCAAAGCAGCAGTCAACCCACATCAGCACGTTTCATTCAAAGTCTTTATTTCGGTGCACTTCAACTTAACATTTGAATGCAATTCTGTCTTCCTCACTCCATTGTGTCTTCATTTATTCATCCTTGCCTTCGTTCAGAAGAAGAAAAAGACAGGCGTGCAGGCATTCCTGGCTGTTCTTTCTGTACCCTGCCTTGGATTGCTCATGCTTTTCAAGGAGCTTCAAGGTGTGCCTTCAGAGTTTCCCTGTGCAGCCAGTCTGTGAGGGACCGGATCAAACTTGGCTGCTTCTCCACTGGCCGCCGTTCTCATTTAGCTTTCAGAAAGTTTGCTCACAAGCGCGCAGCTCTGCAGTCGTGAGCTCACAGGCAGTACAGAATGTGCCAGTACAGCAGGAATGAATTTGACCCGAATGAACAGCACATGCAATGAAGCGTGAAATGTTATGCAACAAGTAAACATCGATTTATCTTTCCGTCTACAGTGCCTTAAGTGGGTTTTTTTTGGGGTTCCCATGCAGAATTTCAACTCCCCCCCCCTCTGAAGTTCTTGTCGAAGCCCTCAGTGGGCTCTGTCAGGGCAGGGAACTCAGTCTGATCCGAAGCCAGGGACAGCTACGTGCCATCTCAGCCGACCTCTGCGAGAGTGGAAAGTGTTAAGTAGTTCACATTTGCATACCGAAATGGAAAGAGAGCACCTATATCAGGACAAATGATACTGTACTGGAAAACGAGACTGAGGCCTGATGCTAAAGGGAGGTTGCATGCATGCAAATAATGCAGATGCAGGAATGAGAAATGAACAAGTTAACAAGTGCATTTGCACCATTAAAGCGTGAAAGCCTCACAGTCTTTATTCACACCTCTTCCCACAGTTAACTGAAAAAAAACACATGAACTGACTAGGAGAAGAATTTCCCAACTGTTATCAGCTCAATGGGGATGTGCGTGCTCACAATGCAGAATCTGATCAGAGGGCGAAAGATGTCGAATTCGTTGTTCAGAGCTTCCAGGGCTCAAGGAAGGGTGGAGGCTGAGGGGTGGAGTTGGTGTGTGCTTCATTTCATGGAGTGACATCAGGGATGTTGGGTGCAACCTCTGTCAAAGATATGTGTCACAGGGGCCAGCTAAATAAGTCCTGCTGTGACCCAATGTTCTCATTTGATAAGAAAGATAAGTCAAACTTGTGATCTCCTGACTTGGTCAAACTGCCCCAACTGACTCTTCTGTTACATCAGTTCTCAGAACTCTGGCTGGTGTTTTTGTAATGAAAGGGTTCTCAGAACATTTTAACCTTCACACGCAAAATTCTAACGAAGGTCTTATCAATGTGGGATGACTAAAGACTGAAAATGTTTTTTTTTACAATTAAATGCAACCCTACTAAACAATTACTCATTCATACCCATATTTAATGAGACCAGCTGTTTGCCAAGTGGCTCTTCTGTGTCTGCCCCATCTCACTAAATCCTTTCTCCTGCTTTCACTAACAGCAGTCATGTCCATATTTCCTCAGCCTTTACACAGAAAAGGGCTTCCCTCCTTCTGAACCACACAGGTGGTACAGTGTACAGTGCAGTGTGGAGCAGGAAGAAGTTTATTTTTCTGTTTGTTTTTAAAAATGCACTATCCTTCGAACATAATGTTTTTCTAATGTAGAGTTAAATTCATAACCTAAGCTTTTCAACAATTACTTAACCTTCTCTGTCCTCTGCATCACAGGTGGTGATTTCTTTCTGCAGAAGGGAAGTCCTAGCGTTTAACTCGGTCCAGATCGTGTAGCATTGCAGTTCTTCTAAACATTTGTTTGTCGCTTGACTTTAAAAACGATAGACGCTGACAGCCAGGCTATAGATCCATGTCCTGTGCTTTTTCTGCAGAGAACGGCCCCTTCCAATCCACCTAAGGGACTTATTGATGATCGGACATCTGTCATTTAATTAATTCGGCTAACCAAAGTTTGTCCATGCTGTCAGGTAGTCCATAGACATTTGTCTTTAACATCCATTCTTCCCACAGGGATAAAAAGGAGAATGGTCATAAAAAAAACAATTCTGTATTAATTTTACGTGTCTCTCTCTCTCCTTCTTTTCTCCTATCCGTGCCTTTTGCGACCTCCCCCCTGTCTGATCTCTTCTCTCACGATCCACCCACCCCCTCTCTCTGCTCGCAGATCAATACAGGGACTTCAGCCTGTAACAATTCGACTCACTACTACGACAACCAGGGGAAAGCTTGCTGCTTGATGTGTGAGAGGGGTAAGTTCCTTCACCCATTTATTCTTTTCATGGTCTTTCATTGTTGTAAAGCCTCTCTCAATTCTTTTGCAGTAACCACTGTCGCAGTGATTCTAGTGCCAAAGGGCTTGTTGAGTCACAAAACAGCACAACGAAAGCCCATCGCCAACTGTGCTTCAGAGTGGATTACACAGGAAATAAGAAACAGCTCAGAAAATGTAACAGTACCCCTTTCCAAAATAACGTGAATTTCAAGGATCTGCACTGGGCTGATTTAATGTAAGATAAAATCTCCTAGACTGTGCCTGCATCCAAGGGAAGGACGAACAAGTCAAATGCTTAGAATTTAATCTTCTTTTTAACATCCACCATCGATGCAGTCATGACAGAGGGAGATGGCGAATGGAGATAAGGACAGAAGACAGAGATCTCGGTGCACAGAGGATGCGATCTGTGCAGCCTGGGGCCCAGGTTCTGTCTGACCTACAAACCCTCAGGTGCATGAAGCATAACGAAAGGAGGGGCATTCCCCAGATAGGCCCCAAGGGAAATGTTCCATTTGCCAAAGTCGAAAAATACTGACAAAAAAATACCTCCAGCGTTTCAGGTCTGCTCCTGAGATGCAAATGCTTGTAACAGAAAAACCGCAGAACGCTCTCCGCTAAGTAAGACAAAGGTACCCAGTTTGGGCTGCAAACGTTGTCCTCTTTAACATGGCAGGATAAGTTCTCCAGACTGTGAGATCCCATGCACAACACTCCAGGGCCTAAATTCATGCATTCTTTGTTTCTTTAAATTTGCGCATGGTAGCAGTAGTTTTTTTGAAGAATTGTGGATTTTCAGGTGAGTCCAAATTGTTTTATGAACTTGTTTGACTGATACAAAGTCACTTTCAGGGGTACAATTCCCTGTTTTTCTTTTAACATACACACTCTACATTTTGTGACCTGTTTATGCGGCGGGATTTGCTGTTCCAATCCGAGTACAGTGCTTTTGCTGAAGGATAAAGCAGCAATGTCCTACCTGACATTTGAACCCACAACCTCCCAGTCACATGTCCAGCTTATGAACAGAAAGCACGCGGACCATGTTACAATAGGTTTTAACAAAATTAAACACCATTATGCTGCCTCTGCTATAACTAATAAACTTTCTTGCTTTTACCAATTAAAAAACTTACAATAGGAATGGGTTATAGAATTGAAGAGGGGATTCGTCTCTTGCTTTTGAAGTTAAACTTTGTAAATAGGTACAAGGCTGAATACAAAGATTTGCAAACAGTGAAACAGATTGCTTTCCAAGTTGTGCATATAAAAGAGGTTAATGAGGGCATTCAATTCTATAAGTCATATGTAGGCTTAAACATTATAAGATCACTAAGATATTATAGATAGGTATTATTCGCATCCTTTTCTAATCTGTGAAAGTGTCATTGTTGCTGGCAGTCTGAAAAAGCATGTTTGTTTCGGTTTTGCATCTTAGTCCATACAGAGTCCATGCAACTGAACTGATGCATCCTTATTGAAGGCAGACACAGCCTGAACCTGAGACCCAGAAAAAAAACAACAAAAAAACTGTAACTGACAATCGAAAAAAAAAAAAATCTGTTTTGGAACAAAAAGAGGGAGTTGGTAGATCTTAAACACAGAAAAAAAAACCTCTCATTATCAGCCATAAGGTGTGTGCCTACGACAGGAAACTGTGGGTACCTCCTGTAGACACGATCTGTTCCCCTGTAAATCCGAGTGCTTCTGGAAAAACCCGGTGGTGTTTGCAGTCGCATACCATTCGAGTGTCAGTCTCTTTTAAACTGTTTGTCATTCTCATTCCCTGCTCTATTGACTTTTAACACCATATTAATCCTGTGACCTGACCTATGCAGCTGATAAGCGACTCATACACGGGGATTGATGGGTATTTTCTGATGTAGCTGTCATGCTCACTCACGAGTCTCCTCCGTTACTTCCCTCTCTTGCTCCCTCTCCTTTATTTTTTCAGATTTCTATACCACGTCCTCGTTTGCGATCAAAAAAGGTACTTACCACTTCTATTCATCTAAGGAGAACCAGGGAAAGGGTGTATGTTTTAAAAGGATGTATTAAAATACCCACAAAAGCAGAAAAGGCACACTGGACTTTTAACTAAGGGTTTCTCCATGTTTTGAGCTATGATGAATTACTCATGAGTCTTGAGTCCACTAGTAAACTGTGAGCAATAGGGAGCTACACCTTCACAAAACACTGGTTCTTTGTTTGCAACCAGCTCAAGGGCGATCTGTGACTCTCCTCCAGCAACACAATACCAGAAAAGCCAATGATAACTGGAGAACCATTGCGTTTGTTTGGTTCTATTTCTCAGTAGTAACATAACAAGGACTGGTTATACCGATGAGAAGCCCCTACACACAAACACACCACCAAACCCTGTGGTAAGATATCATTTTGAATCGAGCATTGTTATAATTGAAAAATATAATCCATCCATCCATTTTCTAACCTCTTCATCCAATTTAAGGTTGCAGGAGCCTATCTCAGCAAGCAAAGGATGGGATACACAGGATACACCCTGGATGGGATACACAGACGCAAACCCGTGCACACTCACACCCAAAAGCCTATTAACCTGCCAGTATGTCTTTGGACTGTGGGAGGTTAATTCCCAGTACTGGAAATTGCTGTTGTTTTCAAAAGCCAAGTGGTTTAGCTTGGAGGAAAATGCAGCACGTGGAAGTGGACTAAACGAACACGAGGAGAACATACACACTCAACACAGATAGCACCCCAGATCCTGAATTGAACTCAGGGAGTTGAGAGGGAGCAGTGCTAATGACTGCACCACCAAGCCACCCTACTTATTACAATAGTCTATTTGAATAGGAATCAGCAATTGAGTTTTTCTCATTTTGGCTTGCTGCTACTAACCCATGACTGCACACATGGAAGATTGAGAAAGTGCAGACAGACTCCTCCTATTGCCTCTTGCTACCAAACCACAGGTAACACAGCCCTACACCGGAGGCTCAGTGGTGACAGAAGGAGAGGCGCGTCCCTCACCGACAGCAACAAATTCCCAGGAGGCCACAGGAGTCACTGGCACTCAGAATCCTGGCTGGCTGACGCCACCCCACATTCTCCGGCGCCTGGCCAATTACACACTGCTGCTTGGGGAACGCCAGTCACAGTCAGCTAGTAACCCGAAGGAGGCTCGAACCCAGGACCATAGAGCTCAAAACTTCACCCAGACGATTGCCTTGGTGGGAGAAAACATACATGGGAGCGATGCAGATTCCAATGCTAGTGATACCTCAAGGAAGAACTGAGCCCAGGACTAAGGAGTACTGAGTCATTGATGCTAACTTTCTTGACGCCACTTACAGTATTATTAGTCTTCTCCATGTGTCTCCAGATGTCAAGGCTTCGTGCCCCTCTCCCACTGTACAGAATTCCTCAGAAGTCATGGGGAGTCAGTGTGTCAGGTTTTCCTAAGTTTGAAGCTGAGTCACACCCCAAACCACACTCTGCAAAATAAACAAATGGGCTGAACCCATGGTTAAAGACATTTCAAAAGATGCTGGTAGCTATTGACTCAAGGACAAACATTCATTTTGTTGTAACTACCATTTTCAGCCAGCTACATATGTAAATGCAAACATCTGTTTGTCAGTGCTGGAAATTTTTGTTGTCTTCAAAAGCCAAGTACTAAGGCTTGTACTCTGAAACAGAACTGAAATACAGTTCTTAGAAGATGTATATAAGGATAATACATCTTATTATAGCTGTAAGTGTTCTTACTTGGCAGGGACAGATTCATTCTTAGAAACACACAGTAGAAGTTACATAATTAAAGCCCCAAAGAAACAGAAGTAGTTTTTGGCTGACCTTTTGAATGGAGTTCATGTGGTGAACAGTGAGTCGCTGTGTGCTGCCACCTGGTGCCCAATCCTGGAATGACAACGCTGAAGCTGAGCCCTGTTCCAAAGAGGAAACTGATCTGGATCTGGAGATTCCCACGAGTGTTATAACCAGAGGGGAATTGTAGATCGCGGTTGTATTCACAGAGAGATGTGTTTTAGTTTTGTCAATCTGAGGAGGGCAAAACGCTAGCGGGGGAGATCTCATGCGAAAGTGCCCATGCAAAACAGAAAGCCATTCAAGCGTACAGTCAACACAAAACGCAGCTGCTGAAGCACTTCTGTATTTCCTAATGCTATTTTAAACTAGACGTGCAAAGCCAGTTTATCACTACTACACAAAAGAATTCTAAAAATACATACAGTATGAGTAGGTGGCTGGAGAAACATACAAATCACATGTTAACTCTTTATTATAATAGAAAAAACTAGTATGAAACATGATACAAAAGAGCTGATTATTGGATTCCTGACAAAGCTCGGCCATTAGCATGGCAGCTCGGTCTCCTACACGAGGGGTCCCCAGCACCTGCAGCGGTTTGTTCCAGCTGAGTCCCAGTTTCACGAGCAGCGCCTTCCTTCACTTCAATAACAGGATACGCTTGAACTGTTAATTTCCAGCTCCTAACCACGTCAGAGGTCTGCCTTTCACTACTGGATTTCACCAGTGCCTCGAGATCACCAGCTTTTGACTAGAAAACAAGCTCGCAAAGGCTCCAGTTCAGGCTCGGAAAGAGGGAACACCAGCTGGTGTGGGGCTCCCTCTAAAGCTCCGACTGGCTTTTGCCTCTGTGAAAACATGTGGGGTACCTCTAGGATGGATCACAGCAGCTGATACCCCGGGAGACACCGTCTTCCTCTGGGTGAGTCGCCCTCCTTTCCTAACTCCCCTCTTCGCTGTGCCCAGGCCTCACCCCCAGGAATAACTACTGTGCCAGGAGGGCCCAAGACTGCGCTCCCTGTCCTGCCAACACATACTGGATGACCAAGCGTGGGGTGCCCACATGCTCGACGTGCAACAGTCCTTGCCAAGGTGAGAACCGGCCCTGAAACCATGTCAAGCTCTGGCTTGAGAGGAAGGGGACCGACAGGATGGGATTTCAGAGCTGCAGGATCTGAAAGGAATCAGTGTATCAATTCAGTACGATGCCTTTGCTGAGGTGAAAACTGGTGATCGACTAGCGAGCAGTACTGTACATTTCTAACACTGCCCGGCTGTCTGCTATCCCTGCCCATGATCAGACTGTGTGAACAGCTGAACAGTGTTATTACTTCGCTGAAAACCCTTTCAGGCTTTTTAGGGTGAGTTTTATATTAACAAAAACTAAACAGTCATGTTTTATAACTACCTACAAATAGCAAAAACATAAATAAGAACCATGATATAGAATAATAGTTGTATACACTGTAAGAATAATTTCTCTGCGGGGTAGATGAGCAACGTTATTCAATGCTGTGCTTTTTGATTTAGCAACTATCTTTTGTTGATATAAAATGTAACCCGAAATGACACATTTAAACGCAATAAGGCAGTTACGGTTAATAGTTGGATGGAATGCAAAAACGTACTGCTCATTTTTGCCCACGAGAAATCCCAATCCCATAAATGTCCTAGTAGCCATTTGTAGACATAATATTTGTATTTTCCCTGCAAGTGAGCCAGATCGTATTTTGTCCCATCTGGATGTCTGCCAGAGGAGGCCGGCAGTGCTGTTGCAGGGCTGTGGCTGTAATGAGCTTGTTTGTCTGCATGCAGCTGACCAGGTGCAGGTGCAGGAGTGTGCCATGCTAACAAACCGCGTGTGCAAGTGTAAGAAGGGCTATTTCTGCAAGGTGACAGCTCAGGATACCTGCAGGAAGTGCCAACAGCACTCGAAATGCCCTCCCGGCGAGGGTGTTAGTCAAGAAGGTAAGAATTACCCATCTTTGTCCTTCCCTGGTTCCATTTTTGTTTCCATTTCGTATATCCTACTCCTCACTCTCAACCCAGTTTTGAAACGGTATTTTGTAAGATTTGTTTGTCATTCTGGGCAGCACTGGGGCCCTGGGTTCAACGCCTGGGGTGCTGTCTGCATGGCGTTTGTATGTTGGATGTTGTCCCTGTGGTATTCTCCCACAGTCCAATGCCATGCTGGTAGGTCACTTGGCTTCTGGGAATATTGGTGTGAGTGTGAGTGTATGTGGGTCTGCGTCTGACTGTGCCCTGCGATGGACTGGCATCCCATCCAGGGTGTGTCGCCTTGCGCCCAGTGCTTGCTGGGATAGTTCCCTGGCTCCCCCGTGGCCCTGAATGGGGTGAAGTGGTAAGAAAATAGATGGACGGGATGTTTGTCATCCCATTGCTTGCTGGTGGTGAGTGTCCAGCAGCACAAACCCCTTACCTCTCCAATGCCCCCTAGATCACCTCTGGGCTTGGTGCTGTGGTGTCATTGAACCCCTCCTGCCCCACAGTACATCTCAGTGCCCAACCATAAACAGCAGTTTACACTACCACCTTGAGCCCTGCACTGGAAAGCAAGAATAACGCCCTCTTCCAGAAAGCTCTCAGATACCGTGCTTGGATTCTTCCCTCTCTTGACCCCTGGCCCAGAAGCAATTTGCACTGGACACGCCGCCAGAAAACAGCCAAAAAGCTAACTGACCTTCTCCCTCCCGCTCTGCGATCCTGCTACACCAGGTCGGTTTAAAGTTTAATGCTGGGAAATTACGGCGAGGCTGGCCTCTGTCTTTCAGGAGGTGCCACGATCGACACAGAGTGCATGCCCTGTCCAGCTGGCACATATTCTAACATCCTGTCTGCAGAGCAGCGCTGTCTACAGCACACTAAGTGAGTACAGCCGTACCCTGCAGATCACGATGCTTTTGTTGCGTTGACTGTTGTTAGTAATGGATGATTAATGAGGATGGAGCTTTTAGGAGACATTCCAACAAGAGCACAGCAATCAGTATTGAGGAGCATAATGAAGAACAATGACATTTCGCAGGTTCGATTTAGCTTTTTCAGTGATTACAGACACATTGTGCAATATTAATGTCTCAGAAGATCCCACACAGTTGGGCAACAATAGATGAAATGCAAAGATTTGTTAACGAGAGACAACTTCTCTCCTTGTTGGCAAACCAGCAGTGTGGAAATGAATAAATATGGACATAACAGAGCTTTCTTATGCTAGAGTGTGACAAAGGGACAAGTAAAGTTTTAATCCAAGCTGAAACAAGAAGAAAAACACAAGGTTTCAGCTGTGGAGCCTTCTGCAGGCGTGAAGAAGGCTCTACGGCCGAAATGTTGTTTCTTTTCTTCTATTTTCTTGTTTCTTTGCACCCTACTCATGCTGATGCAGCTACCTGCTTTACTTTAAGTGTGACAATACTCTTATGCTCAAAGGTTCTCAGCATCAGCTTTGCAAAGTTTCTTATGTTACTGTTTTGGAAGATGGTATTGAAATCAGTTCCTTGATGGAAGTTAGAAATAAAATAGATTACCGTAACAAACGCACGTAGACATCCTTCTGACATTCCTAACATCAACTTCAGGTGGCAGCAGAGGGTTAAAAGTGACAACAAGGGTTTTTAAGCATTTTTCAAACAACACAATAATTCCAGTAAATGTACCCAGTAAAAAACAAGAGTAAAAGTAAATAATGCCTTAAGAGCTATAGAGGAAAAGCAGGTCTTTAAGAGAGTTTTAAAATGTTGAAAGGTCAGCCTCTTAAGGACTTGGGCAGAGAGCTCCACAGCAGAGCTGCACACAGGAACACTCTATCAGCGTACAGTATGTGTGTGGAGCCTGGACCTTAGTCCAGGGAGTCCAGAGAATAAGGACTGACGCAGCTGATCTCAAAGCAAGGTACTTACACATAAGCAGGAGAACCATGCAGTCCTCTTTAAATGATTTATATGTATATGTATTTGAGCAGTTGTTAATTTAATTGTACTATAACACCTATCTGTACACACACTTTCCAAATAATCATTCTATTACAAAACAAAGGTTAATCATTTGTAACATGGAACACTTTAGACCATCAAAAATTGTAGCTTTCTATTTATGAAATTCACTTACAAAAGCAGCACTTTACATGTAGCATGCGAAGTAGTGTAGGTCTCAGTGCTGCTCCAGCAGCGTAATTCTGCGACAATTCCTTTCATCTTGAAGCAGAGTTCAAAAGAACTCCTTCAATAAGAATATCTCGTCATAAGCACTGCTTGTGGGGAAGGGAAGGTCTCGTTCCTGCTTTTTATGCAAACGGACCAGTGCCTGCAGTATCCACTGAATCTCCAGCCCAGACTTAAGTGCAACATTAAAATGAAATCTCTCGACCAATGTGCACACCAAGCACGAAGAAAGAACGACTTCTTGACTCTCAGGGTACCACTTATTGACCTGCTCTAATCCATCCCAGCTGTTTGCTCTGCTTTCCCCCAGCAAAGGAACTGTATGACATCCCTAATCCAGGGAAGAATGTTATCCCCACACCCCCGCCAGGGAAAAGGAAATTGGAATAATCAGATGGACTTACTTTGGTTTCTTGATTAGTCGAGTCCGCAGAGATGCCGCGTGGTCTTTGGAGAAACGTCGCTGTTACTGTCCTTGTACCTGTTGCAGTTGTTCCAGTCTCGGAAGGGCGGTTTTGCAAGAGGGCAACAAGACTCACGACTCGGTCTGCACCCCCCGCCTCTCCTCCGCTGCCACCCCAGGGGGAGGCACCAAGTCATTCCTCTCAAGAGGCAGAGGAGCCCCCACGACACAGCACTCGCGTGTTATCACCGCGGCTGCCAGGAGACTCGCGATAACTTTAAGGATCGGGCGTCAAGAGATCCCAGAAGACCACAGCTTTACTCCTTACACTGTAGGAATACACCCACACCCCACTGAACCTGCGGAATCCACTGTACCTACAAAATCCGAGGATATTGATACTGAATCAACTGTGCAAACCAAATTACAGCTCTCAAGCACAGGTATGTTTTGCCGAAATGCAGCAATTTCCACAAAAAATAGCAAGACTGTTATGCAGGCTAACAGGGTCTAGTGCGATTGATACTGTAGATGTGCTTGGAGTTCTCTTTTTAATATGTAGAGCTCAACTAAAACTTGGCAACTTGCTAAACTTGGTAGAGAGTCCGTTTTAAAAGTTAAATGGGCTAGTATTTTCATTAGTGTGTTGGGGGCTGGTCTTTGGTGGATGTTTTCTGGAGTGAGAGGAAGGTTGTGTAGCTGCAGTTTAGGAAAGTATTGTGAGAGAAAGGGGCTGGTTCTGCCTGGTATGCACAGAAAAGAATACTTCATAAAAGCCTGTAAAAAGAACTTGTTTCTCAGAGGCTTCATTTCTATTTAAATGGTTAAAGCCTAAGGAAGCTCAGCCACTTGAAATATTTTTAAAATTCCTACAGGCCACTAAAATATGTTTGCCTCTGCTAATTACCCAAAGTACTGGCCCTGTTTAGTCTTTTGAGCTCAGGTGGAAATGCAAAGCATTAGTGAGAGAGACTACCCATGTCCCTGTTGTGCTCTCTCTGGGCGAAAGTGCTCCTGTCCTTGTTATTGCAGGTACTTTTCTTTAGAAAACAAAATACAGCATGCAATACCACTTTCGTGCACTAGAGGTCACCAGAAAATCAAATAGGGCCGGATAGTTAACCTCCTGACTAAAGAAGTTCTGGTCTCAAAAGAAAGTCAGAAACAGATGGGTAAAAATGCACTGAATCTCTTTAACGCTGAAATAAGGATGATTACCAGGGTTTTTGAAAATCTCACAAAACAGGTAAATCAAATCGATCCATCTGAGGGGCTGCATTGTCAGCTTCAACAAGCTAATTATCCGAACGGGGGCGTAGCACAAACAAAAGAGAAACAGAAGCTGCATTTAGGGATGAAAATAAGATTTTAAAATTAAAAGTCATGGCTGACTGAAACAAATCCAGCCAGAGAAGCTACCGACACCAAGACTTCAGTATCCTTCAAGGTAGAACTGTATGGGTTTTTGGGATAACTTAGCTATTAGTAACCAAATAATAACCACATATCAATTTCCCTACGGGATTAATAAAGTATTATCTATCTATCTCTAACCAAATGATGTCTTCTCATTCAAAAGATTTACAGGAATCTTGTGCTGTTTTTCATGTTTGTTTTTTTTGTTTTCTCTCCAACCCTCTTGTTTATCACTTTCCCTCCCATCCCCTGCTCCTTTCTGTCTTACCTCTCCTTCACCATTTGGTTTCATCTTTCATCCTTCCAAAAAACCTCCTCTCCCTGCTCTCTCCCCACTCTTGTTCAACCACCCCTCCCTGTCCCCACTGTCCCTCAGTTCCCAAGAGCCCCGTGTCTCTCCCTCGGCTGTCTGCACCTTCCCTAGTGTCTTCCACTCCTGCCAAGTCCCAGCAAGGGGCCCAGTTCCTGGGTCTGATATCGCTGGTGTTCCTGGCCCTGCTGCTTGTTCTTGCCATCCTACTTTGTGTCGTGTGTAACAGGAGACGATCCCTGAAGAGCCTACTCAAGTGGCGGACAGGTGAGTCTACAAGCGGTGGACAGTCAGAATGCCAGACACAAAGCATTTGACTAATAAACATGTCAGGGATTCTGCATGTCTAACTGGGCTGTACGGCTGAGATGTCCCTAGGAGCCTTCCTCAGAAGGCAGCCATTTTGGCTCAGGTGAATCAAGGGTAGCCACACCGTCAAATGTCCCAGGGGACATCTCAGCAATACAGAGCAGTCAGGAATGTAGATTCCCTCACAGAGGCATTAATGGCAATGGCCATTTCTGATTGTACTTAATACTTAATTGGATTGTTTCCAATTATAACCTTCCGCTTACCTCCTACAACAAGATATGTACAAGTATGTCCAGGTACAGGACAGTGTTTCCTGTGCTGATGCCACGAAGAATTACTAGAGGAGCTGAGACAGAGGTGCACAGATTGACATAAATAATCTCACATACACAGAGACTCAGACATACGTAGGCCATGAGATCTAAAGATTGGTTTCTCTGCTGCATGGACACAAAGGATCACAGTCAAATTTCTAGCTGAAGTATTAATCAGAATTGCATGCAATTTAAACAAAACAGAAAATAAAATAAAAAAACAGCACACTACAAAGAATAACACTTTAGTAACATATACAGTATACGTATGCTATATATGCTATATATGATATATGTCAGTTATGTAGAGCCTGGGCCATTTAGTATAAATTCATGTTGCTTTAGTTATGTTCAGTACAAATGTGAACAACGTAACTGTTTTTTTATTCTGTTTTTTCTTATAGGACTGCAGTTTATCAGCTATGTAAGTACCTTCCCTCCCTTTAAATTAAAAAACAGAAGTAAACTGATGATACTATGTGTTGCATGAGACAACTAAAATGAAACTTGAAATGAAAGTGAGTAACACGTGTAGGCAAAACGAACACAATAAAACATAAATCAGTTTATCCACAACGGAATAATACATCCAGTGAGAAGGCTTCTTAGTCCAGTATGTCCTATAATTCAGACACTGGACTGTCACTACCTGACTTCATTCCACCAAACATTTGTACACAACTCAGCACACACCTGCAGGTGTTAGGAAGGTTTGAGTAGACCAAGGTGTCCTCAGTCTGCCGCGACAAACAGTGTTACTTGTCACCTCAAAAAACAACTGTGATAAAGTTGTACTTGTTTGAGATTGTCAAGAGTGGATGGACTGTAGGGATTTCATACAGTACCTTTATATACAGTACATTTATAGACTCTCAAAACACTTAAAGCAAGCAAGGGTGTTCAACGTGTTTTTTCATTTTTCTTTATTGCAATCCTGCACATGGATTTCAGTGCCACTGGGATACACAGAATCTTCCATCAGAGAGAAGTAGGAAGGGGCTTCCATTTCAAAATCCTCTGAGATCTGAGAGCATGTTGAAGGTTTGGCGATTGGTCCAGGAGTCTTAGGAACTTTTGGTTGGTCTGCTATGCAGGGCGCACATCGAGACCAGGAGGTGGAGAGAGGGGAGAAGCATCCGATTCTGGGGCCGCACCATCAGCTGCCCCCAGAGAGAGGCCCACGTGTGGAAGCAGAGAGGCCCGTGACCAGCGAGAGGCCAGGGGGCTGCCCCTTGGCAGAGCTGGGGGAGGGAGGCTCCGGCGGCACGCAGCAAGTTATCGTCGACCGCAACAGGGGAGGAGACAGCGTGAACAATGCCGTAGGTGGGTACAAGCTTGGAAATGAACTCAAGGCACTTTTGTGCAGTGATGGAGACTTAGACGGGGAGGAACTTTAAAAAAATCTGCTTGCCAATGATTTATAGACTACAACTCTGAATGTTCGTCAATATTCAGCGATGTCAACAGAACTCCAGCTGTATTCTTTTGATAATCAGGTGAAATTCCAATTTGGAGATTGTGATAAAACCTTTCCTGTTTCAGAGGACGTCTTGGGGAGAATTCTGGTTTATGCATGGTCTCTCAGCCAGGTTGCAGTCACTGTAGAGTTGCCAGGTTTCCAGAGAGTTTACAGTGACCTCCAGATGGGGTCTGAGGGCAGAAAGCTGTCCCTTTTGGAGTTGCAGGCTAAGAATCAAAGCCCTCTGTGGGAGGGCTAAGTGTCAGATACTCACTTATCACTGCGGGAGGGCTAAACATCAGGCGAACGCTCTTCTCTGTGGGAAGATTAAGTTTCGGGCAATTGCTCTTCTTTGTGTGAAGGTTAAATGTCATGTTGTTGCTCTTATCTATGGCAGGTCTAAGCATTGGGCAGTCGCTCCTCAGTGGGAGAGGACTAGGGGTCAGGTGGTCACTCCTCAGTGAGAGAGGACTAGGGGTCAGGCAGTCGCTCCTCAGTGAGAGAGGACTAGGGGTCAGGCAGTCGCTCTTCCCTGCAGGAATACTAAGTGCCAGGTCGTTGCACTTTATTGTGGGAAGAGTGACCGCCCACTGCTTAGTACTCCTGCAAGGGAAGGGATACATCACTTTTTGCAATGCTGTGAACTCTTAGGTGCTCAGCAAGTTCTGGGACTACAACTCTGTGCCCACCTGAGGAAAGGCGGTTAACTCTTCCAACCCCAACAGATAGGGGATCCTGATGAAAGGAAACTAAGAACATAATTATGTGTGACCAAGTTATTGAATATTGCATTCTAAATCTCTCAGGACCATCTACAGTATATTGTGGTATAGATCTTTGCATTCCACATATTTTCTCAATATATTTTATCCATACTTGTACAGCATATTGATGAGTTTCTAAGAAGTTCCAAAACAGAAATCGGAGATCCCGATTTAACACAGAATTGTGCATGAGAGATCTGTTGTAGGACCTTGGTTGTGCATGTTTGTTTTAGTATTACTAAAATGCTTGTGTGTCTAACTATGTTCTGTGTGTACCCGCCAGGATCAATCTACATCATCTCTCCAGGAACAGTGATTCTGGGAGCAAAGACAGAATGGAGGGATGAGATAGAGGAGAAGAGGACGGAAGTCGGAGAGCCGGCAGCTGGAGAAGCCCTTATCAGCTTCCCCCAGCAGGAATCCATAAAGAACCCCGAGAACGAGGCGATCCGGGCCAGAGACCCCGTCAGTTCCAGGGTGTGCGTGCAAGAAGAGGAGCCCAAGGACCTGTGCTTCCCTGTTCCAGCTACCAGCAAGTGAGGGAGACAGACAGGCAGAGAGCCTGGTGGGTGGAGGGGCGAAGGGACAGGGAAATGGAGTGAACGGATGGAGGAACCTCGATCAAGGTACAGAGGAATCAGAAGGAGATGGCGCCACTGAACAAGGCACTCCGCTTTATATTCAAAGAGAAAGAAACAGTAAGGATGAGAGAGGCACCGTAAAAAGGAAAAATGTGAAAACAGAATGAAACAAATCCTTCCCCTCTATATCCCCCTCTCCCCCTCCATCTCAAATCCTATAGCAGGGCACACACTGCTAGTGCCCGCTGGAATCTTCCATGAGGAGATGAGCTGAAGAAAGTCCGGCTGGATTTCTCTTTTGCTAGACTGCACTCTCTGGACGGGATCGTTGCAGAAGCAGCAGGTGAACATGGATTACTGTTCTTAGCTAAGGCGCAAAGCGGAACAAAGAGAACATCTCGTCGTAGATTACGTGGATTGGACGGGCTTTTCTCCTGCCCAAGCTGTGCTTGTGTGACAAGGATTTGGAGGAGACAATAAGCTTTGATGGAGTAAATGATATTTTTCTCATTAGGAACTTGTTTGATCCTCTTAAATGGTTATTAAGGACTTCATGACATCTTCTGTGTCTCAACTCTTGTAGAATTATAAGGTTCCCTTGAAAGTGGAGACAGGATTGGGCTAAAAAGTTTCCAACACTGTATTCAAGTATGAGATCTCTGTCTACATACTGATTACTGGGATGAGCTCCATCTGAACTGTAATACGGCTATAATAACAATTTAAGGACTTACTTCTGTCTATATTACTGGTAATTCTGAGAGGCCTCTAGTAAGCAGAGGTAATTCATTAAACCACAATGAAAAAGCATGTTTTAGATCTGAGTTACCTCCAAAAATACGAGACAAAATGTACATCTAATACATATAAGAGCTGTGTCAAAATTGAACTCATTGAAGTGCGTCTATGTGATATATTAGCCCCATAAGTCCATCTCCAGTAATGACAGTACTCAAAACATTAAAATGGGAAGATGTGATGCATGAATACATCAACTCAAATGGAAGTACGGACAGGGACGTCTGTTTGACTCTTACATCAAAGACTCTCTGCTTGTTTTCATTTAGGCTCCTGTCTGATTGCCTGAATGAGAAAAATGAAAGACAGCCATAGGACCGCTTCAGTATATCCCGGTGGATTACGCTATGTGTGACAGGACAACAACTGTTTTTGATACTAGAGAAACATAAGGAGGATATAGCACTCTGGATGACACATGAGCAGAACAGGCTGCAGTACAGGGAGCAGAAGATGTTGACTAACTGGGAGCAGGATGCACAAGGACTCTTTGCCCAAATGTAGCAATTCTGTGACCAGACAAAAGGAAAACAAGACCATGAATCCACCAGCTGTTGTCCAAATTAAAGTCATATCTGTTCTCTATGTACAGCACTGTTCTGTAGTTTGGGGTTTGAGCTGTCATGTTTTGGACAAGCTATCATTTGCTGCCTGCCATGATCAAATTTGGACTGGAAAAGCTCATGAAGTTAACACAGGCAGTATCAAAGCTATGATCTCAGCTCTATTAATATTCTGCAGGTGAATTAAAAAGCTCATTAAGCTAGGAAATGTCTGATGGAGGACAGAGATATCTACAGTATTTGGTGCCTTGATGCTTTGATGGCTTAAAGTGTTTGCTAATAGGAATATAACACCTTTCGATGCATGAGCCTTTCTCTGGTTTTGTGGTTGATGCTCTGAATAATGTTGGGGCTCTCATCCTAGATCAAAAACCTCGGAAGACTGGACTGAATGCCATTACTATTTACCTCTAGAAGTCCTGAGTCCTCACCTTATATCGAGGGTGATACTATTTTACTTATGAGTAATCGTGTTGTTAGTACAAGACCAGGTCTGTATTGTGTGGGTCTTTTCGGTGTTCCTTTTTAAATATGATTGCGTGCCCTTAAGCTTGATGTTGCTTAAGTGCGGTATAACTAAAAAGTGGAATTGTGTTGTTCTTGTCCACTGTTTGTAGGACTCCATCTTTGGAGTATGGCTTTTAAGATGTCTGGATTTGCTGTTAAGCAAAGGAAGGCCTTGCTCCTCAGCCCACATTCTTACAGCTCTGTCCCTTCATAGAAAACCTGCCATACAGAGCTCTTCTTCAGCTTGGAAATTCCATGTGCAAAAAAACCCAACTTAATTTGGGGTTTGAATACAGTAGACAAGACACTTCCCTCTAATTACTGTATGTCACTGAAAAGAAAAGGGCTTTTTTTGCTTCACATATGTGTTTAGTACTGTAAATGTATACAAGGAAATATTTCTAGAATAACAGAACAAAACTGTACAGTGTACTATAACCTCCTGTGTTTATAGAAACAAGTCAACGTGTTTCTCAGAACCAATTGTGATTTCTGTTGTGCAAGAAAAAGAAAAAATGCCTTGTAGGAATCAAGAGGGATTCTTTAAAAGAATGAGTCATCAATCAGGTGGCTGTTTTTCTGAATATGCCACGTGTTGGACTGCATGCCATCATTAATACATGCCCTGAAATGCATACCGACAGGTCAGTCCTTTTTTTTCTGGGCTTCCTTGTCAACCAAGCTGTGTTCGCTGGTCTGGACTGGAGTTCTGTCCAGGGGACAGTCCTGTTGTGCACCCTCTGCTTCTGGGCCATGCGCCAGGCTGTCACAACCCTTAAGGGATTAGATGGTTTCTGATAAAAGGATAGATTATTTACTCTCTTGTTCATACAGCTCTGATATCCTAAGAATTTGTAGGGAAATGTTTTGAAAGTGAAACCTTTCCTTGTGTTTGTCTTTCTCTAAAGTTTTTGTTTGCACTCTGCAGTGACACCTACGACTCAAAGTAAGCATCTGCCTTTTTATTGTATGTCCTGCAGGCCTGTATATTTATTCTAGATTCAATAGTGTGTTTAGTGGGACTGAGATCGATGGATAAAATCACAGTGCAATACTGAGAAATTACCCTTGTAAATACTGTAATAAAACGTTTTTTTATTCTTTGAAATAAATGTTGCCCACATATTGCTCATTTCAGTTACAGTAAGGCTCAATCATGAAATGATTCTAAAACAGGAACTGCCTTAAAGCTTCTCCCCTCTTAAATCTGCTGAGAAAAGGCTAAAGGAGGAAGCAGGAACCTGATTCTCCCAGAGATAGCAAACTAGGGCAAGGCTGGCTTTGCTTGAACCTGCTTGCAGTCGTAACAGACCAAACGTGTTTTTCGTAACGCCAAGTCATTTATTGGCCGATAGGGGGAGCACGGGGGCCAACATGAATTTGAAAAATCGCCTCTCAAAGCTCCATTATTTTGTAGGATGTGCCAGAATGCAACAAATAGCACAGATGATCTTTGCACAGAAGGGAAGCACAAAATGTGAGTGAAACTCAAATATCATTGTGGTAGCATGCAAACTCATATAAAACAAGGGAATATTGTAACAGAGTATTTGGAAGATTTATCTTGGGCAAGCACACACTTTGTGCACTGCAATGTACGCAAACACAGATGCATGCGGTGTACCTCTGCAGACTACTGTGGAAGCCCTGACATTTACATTAGGGTGGCTACGCTCTCTATAGGTCAGAACAAAATGTTCTTCTGCCTCCAAGGCTGTGTATAGCTGACATAACTCCCACACCTACATTTCACAGGTCTAAAAATATCCATTTTCATGGTGACTAAAGTTTTTGTATATTCTACCCCAGCTGTCTGTCAATGTGTGGGCCAGTAACAGGAATAATTAAGAAAACCTGTCTCATCCTTGTTTTTGACCTCTCTGTGCCTGATGTTCCTGTGGGTGTTTTCTCCCTTCTTTCACAGCAGAAAACAAATTACAGCCTAATTTATTTCCCCTGTTTCCTATCTGGGGCCTGTTTTTAAATTTGATTGCAAAAAAAGTGGAAGGAGATTTGTAACTTGTTCAATCCTTGTGCTAATTAGTGAGTTTTATGACTGCCCTCAGTCCGGTGTGCGTACTGAAAATAATATAACCAACTGGACTTTTGGACAGGCAGAAGGGTAAACACTGGCTCACTGTGGGACGGGCTGACACAATGTCATTCCCTCCTTTATGAGCTCAACATCAATCGATCACCAATCAGGAGCTTTGTAATGGGCAAATTCTTAAAGATCTGTGTGCTGGGCTAGCTGGAAATAATGTATTTTAAGCTATTTTTTGGAAACCAGGGACCCAGTACACAGAAAAAGTCTAAATTAGCAAGCAGATCATTTAAAGGCTCCAGTTGGCACTGGTGATTATACTGTAGGCCCAGTTGCAGCAAAAACCAGTAGACACAGGTACACTCCAGGACCTGGATTGAGAAACAGTGAATTAAAAAATAATGAAGGACAGAAAAAAAGACACCCTAGTCTGGTTTTAAAAGACAATATCCAATTACTTTTTAAAGACAATTGTGCACGTGATAGTTTTTGTTTTTCAAAGCCTACCTCATTGTTTGTTTTCACCAGGAGATCCAAGTACTGTATTACCTGTACATGTTCTTTTTACATTTATGCTGCAAAAATTGCTTGAACTCTTTGTATTGTAGATATTGCTGTTTCAATTGATAAAGGTGCACAGCTGGCTCAATGGCTTACTACAGATTTAACAGACATGTAGCCCTGCAATCAATAAACACCTTTAATGATGATTCTATACAGTAGCTGCTGTGAAGGAGTGGAGCTCTGGCTGACCTTTGACCCAGGCAGAAGGAGCAGTAGGTGGGGGACTGCCGGCGGAGGGTGACAGCGTGCACGAGAGCTGCCCTTGCTCTTCCGCCCAGCGGAAACGCTCCTGCTCAACGAGACGTGACAGAGACCGAGACAGCGCATCCTCAGCTCTGCTGGGACAGTGGGCTGAGCCTCTGAGAGACAAGGGGGTCCCGGTGATCACAAACTCCCACCAAAAACAATGAAGCCAAAGTGAATGATACAATTCAAAGTGCAGCGTGCACGCGTTTGGAAGAAAGCTGGTAAAATCGTTTAAAAAAACAGTACCTGTTAGTAGTATACTGAAAGAAGGTACATTGGAGAGTGGAAGCTTTCATTGGCCCTGTGTTGCTTTCTTCAGATGGTTATGATGAAGTTTATTTTCATGTATGTATATGAAGCATGCAGTTTATGGGCCACTGTTCTGTAATAATATGCTATACAAGAATCGCTTTGAAACATTCTTTTCAATGATCTATTCCCCTTGAGTCTAAGGATTTTACTCAGAAACTGCTCATAGCGGTAGTAAAAGGAATGCTTCTGGGAAAGTCTCAAAAACATGATGTTCAAGGCGCTGGTGACAGCGGCTTCAATCTTTCTTCCTCGGATGTCTGTCTTTTTTTCCAGATAAAGAGTGGATTTGCATGTACCTGTGAGTGGGATTGAGTAGATCAAATATAAACACTGTAGGCAGCGGACAGACATCAGAGACCTAATGTTGCATTCCTCACCAGCAGTGGAGAGCTAGCCAAAAAAAAAAAAGACTTTTAATAATTATGTGACCTGTATCTAATATTTACTGTGGGAAAAGGGATTCATAGCATGTGGTATTAGCAACTAATGTCGTCGGCAAAACAAAGGTCGTGCAACTTCAGGAACATGTGCACATCTGAATGTCAACCACTGTGTATGTGGGCTGACAAACACTGAGCCGGTACTGTACTCGTTGATTCTGCGTATTTAAAGCCTGTGTGCGCCTTACTTTTTAGCTTTGAATACTTGATTCAGGGGACAATATTCTGGCCCGGTGAAGGTTGGTCTGATATTCGGAAGAGCACAGATTTGGAACATCTAGTATTTGTTACACTCCGGTGCCCTTTTTGCAGGCAAAGTCGTTCTGGGCGGGTTTTTTTTTTAGAAATGAGCTTGTCGTGCAAAATGGTCGGTTTCAGTTCTCAAATGAATCCAGAAATGACGAAGACAGTAGCGCTGACTGAATTGTGCGAAGGCACCGCGCAGAGCCGGGGGTCTGGATATGAGCTGGATCCTGAGGTTCTCAGAAGTATCAGCGTTAGGGGTCTCAGCCTGGTATGACAGGAAGACAACGCGCTCACAGGACAGGCTGGGTTTCTGTCCCTCTGAGAGAGAAATGATTTGAAGTTGAGCTATTGTGCGAAGGTTGCTCAGACCTGGAGAATGGAAATGGTTTTATGCAAAGCGTTTCGTCCACAAAGCAGTCATTTTTGCATCGTGTCTATTTCCACGTGCTATTTAAGATTTTGTGTCGGTTTTAAGCTCTGACGTGCTTATCTCGTTTTTATAAAACAACAGCTTAGAATCAAGGGACCCTATATCATGTTTAACTACATTTTACGAAATTCAGTTTAGGACGCAGTTTTTGTTCAGAGGTGGGACTCGATGATGAAAGTGTGTGTAGCGAGGGACATTTTGATCCAGACATGTATGTAAATACATCCAGAAACGCGTGTTTTCTACACAGATATTTCCCTCAAAACCTACGGACAGCTCGTCTTTGTACATTGTACATTGTACTTTGCACATTGTACATTGTACATGCTGTGAACAAACGGCTTTAGTCACGTTTAAAATGTCATACGCCCCCTAAAACCACTGTATCACACAAATAAAAAAAAAACACATTCTCACTAGTCGAAGTAGCGTGTTTCGAATTGGTCAGACAATTCGTATTAGGATTCTGAATTGAATATTATTCCATGATATAACAAACGGACTACCAAAAAGAGAGTTTGGTCATTTCTGTTTATGTCTGTGACTATCCTGGGTCGTTTTTTTTTCAGCTCTTTCCTCCACTGCTAGCTACTATGTCACATCAAAAGGGAAGTCGATTTGCGTAGGTGCCAGAGTTCAGCAGACTGCAGAGGCAGGCCCTGAAGTCGTTCCAGCACAACACGCGTTTCTGCGCACAACTCCGCTGACTCCCCGCACTGAAACCGCAGATTGTGTATTGCAATTAAAACGAGAAAGACGCAGATCGTCTTCGGATAAATCGACTCACCTGCGTCGTCCCGAGTTGAGAGGGCGTGCTGTTGGCGAAGACGCTGAAATTTGACACTGGAAGCTGAACCTCGGAATAGGCTGAAGCCGGCAGGGAAGATTTCAGTGTGACAAGACGCGGTATCGTGAGAAACATGTTTTGGAAAACCCTGGGTCTTGCGCTTGCTGTCACGATGCTTCATGTGGAGAGCCAGGTGGGTGTTTGTGAAAATAATAAAGGAACGTTTAAGTGGAAAACTTTTGTTTATTTCATGCCGGGTCGTTCTGTTGCTCGGCTTTTCGCTTTGCAGTTCTGAATTTCGATTTTCTCAGATCACGGTGTCCTTAAGAGTCCTTTGCTTCAGTCTGTTAATGTCTTATTCACTACCTATATCGAATTTAATATCTTAAAGCGCTTCGCGTAATGCAATGCGAGGAGTCTGCAGTGAGCACAGTAGTGCTCTTGTATTGAGGGCAAGGCGAGACGCTGATCTCAGGCAGAGCTGCAGATCTTGCACTAAAGCCGGGGTTTATTCTGAGAATTAAGTGGCTCTGTTCGGGAAGTGTTCCTCTGCAATGCGAAATCTCCAGAAAAGGCTAGAAATATCGAACTCTAATGTGGTAGTTAATGTATTTCCTGCGGTTACTTTGATATTTGATATGGTGAGAGCATTTTCTCTTTTAAGGACGAAATAACCACACGGACTTGAGAAAAGAAAACGAAGCCTCCTAAAAGTGAATGGGAAACGCAGGAACAGATGTTTTTCCAAATCTTCCTTTTAGCGCAATGGCTGTTAGGGCTGTATCAGTGAGGGTAGGCTGATGTTGAACAAAGCGCCCTTTACAGAGTACTGTTTGTAAATATTATGCAGTTTGTGGTAAAGTTTGCAACTTATGTAAAACATAGACATTGTATTTAGAATGGTTAGTGGTTAGTTAGCTGTTGTTTGTTATGCTTTGCTCATATAATTCATATATTACGGTATATATATTATCAGGTGTTATGATGCGGAATATATCTCATGATCGTTTAACGTGGTTTATTAGTGTACAGTTTTGCCAGCTATATAGGATACATTTTACTGGAGTTTTCTTGGTTTCCCAGTGTTTCTTTTATACAGTGTCGCTGTTTCAAAGTGAATTTATTTGCGGGGATGATTCATTTACCATTGGAGCGGAATGTGAATGTTTTATTGAACCTCTTCAGAAAATAAGCGCAATTGATGTGCTGATGTTAAACATGTGGTATGTGACCACTTTCAGGGCGTTCGTAAAGTGGGATTCTTTGCTTGCCAGTGTGGTAAACGTTTACTTTTAAAAATGGACCACAGATTTGGTTACCATTACCCATGATGTGTGAGAGCAATAAGTTCGAGGGTCTGAGTACGGACGGCTTAGAAGCGTGTTATATTTTTTATTAGATTTTATTTGCTTGTTTTACTCATTTTAGCCGAGTCCCGGACATAGATTTTATGCAACAGCCGTGTTTTGACTACAAGCGTAGCTTTCCCGTAAATCCTTGAGACACTCATCCGCAGCTGCTGTGATGGATACGAGCAGAGCTGAGGTGTGGTCTCGTTTACCAGAAGGTGAACTGCGCTTCTTAAGAACCGGCTCTCCTTTCAGATTACATACAGTAAGAATATACCCACGCCAGTCTGTGGAGTTCAGATCAGGACTTCAATGTAAACAGATCCTCCTGGTTCTCCGGTATCTGATTGTGTTCCCTTGTCAGGAGTCAGGCTTCTTTTTAACTCCCCACATCAAACAGGTGCGAGGAAATGAGGTAGCGGGCTTTTCGAGGTTACTTCAAGAGAGCGGAACATCAGCTGCATTATCAGTCAGGAGTGACATTCAAAATCAGAGTGCATTCGGGATTGCAGATAATATAAAGAAATTCATTTTAAAGTAAGAAATTCCACACTTTCTATGAACTGTAGTTTAATCTGTGCGCGCATTAGTATTTAATACCTTGTGCCATGATGTGTTTATATCGATGGACCTATAGAAAGGAGAGTTTGTTGTGTTTAAATGGATACAGATTTTGCCTGCTTGTAGGCAGCCAGTGTCCCTCTTAACTTACTACTACTAGTGTGCTGTGTAATGGCCATAAAGCGCTCAGCTCTGTCGGACCTACAGCCCTGGTGACTGCTTCTGCAGAGACATTGTAAGTGTAGCACAGCAGCATAGCAGATCATACTGTACAGTACGTGTGAGTCACAACTGTTTGCTGTTGGTTTCTTTTTCTCTTTGGGATTTCGCCTTGGAAATTTCAGAAACTTATGCTTAAGGAGTTACCAACAATTCTCGGTTTCCGAACGTTAAGGGGGGACATACTTACTCGGATATATTTGTTTTTTTTTTCTTATTGGCAGTAGTATATAAGGCGACACCTTTCGTCAAACTTTGTTGAAAACCAAGTCTGGAGACGCGGTGACCGTGGCGCTTGTCTTAGTCTGATAGCATGCTTCAAAAACAACAAGCGCGCACGCACACACCCCCACCCCTACAGTGACCGAGTGATACACACAGTGACCGAATAAAGTGCCACTCGCAGGACAACAGGACAAGCATGTGACAACAGGACAAGCATGTGAAATGTGTACTGCTTTGTTTCAGCAGCAGCTTTTCAAATACAAAAACACAGAGACAGAAACATCCCAGTATACACTTTTGAACTTTTTACATACGTTAAAGGCTCCTGGTTGCAATCTACAATTAAATGTTGGTGCAGAAAATTAGTTCAGTACATGCAGCTATTATTCCAACGTGGCTCAAAAACGCTGCTGCATCTGAAAATCGTTCATAACACCCCTTCTCTCTCCGCTTCTGTAGCCGTAAACACCTACAGTATCTGCGCTACATTTGCTTGGGTTATCAGCGTTACGGTGTTGCCACATGTTCTATGCAAAACACGTTGTATTTTGGAATAGACCCCGTGGTAAGCACCAGATTTTAGTTTCCCATCTTAAAACAGCAGATTTGTAGTAATTTCATTAATGTTATTTACATATAATAACTCTATTACAGCGTTGAGGATATTAGCCTTCTGGTCTGTGATTTTCATTTCTAGCTTTGTAGAAAGAAGAGTATAAAGCACTATATGCAATCGATATTCCTCATTCTTCGGGCAATGTCTCAAATGAGTCTGTAAAATGGAGTGAAAGCCGTCGGGGCTGAGGGGAGATTTCCCTTTAGCTCAACTGGCTGGGTCCCTGTTGAGTGAGGCCGGAGGCCCGGGTTCAAGTCCTCATGTGTGGGGGCGCTGACCTGAGGTGGCAGTGGCGAGGGCGCATACCCACGTGAACCCGAGAGCCCTACATTGGTGTCAGCAGTGGGATGGGATAGCCCTTCGCCGAGGACGGCGAATTAAGCAGGGGAGAGTGTAACGCATACCGCCACCATTGCAGGTTGTTTGAGCCGGCTTACCAGCGCGGTGACGTCACCGCCCTTCCCTGTGAATAGCAGGGACCGCAGCCATCAGGGTGACAGGAGATTTCCCTTTAGCTCAACTGGCTGGGTCCCTGTTGAGCGACGCAGGAGGCCCGGGTTCGAGTCCCCAGTGGTGGGGGGCCGACCTGAGGCGGCAGCAGCGAGGGCGCATACCCACGTGAGCCCAAGAGCGCTACAATACACATATTTATAAAACGAGTGGGATCGCGGCGGCTGACATTTGGACCCAGAGGCTCAGGACCGCTCAGGGGAAGGTGTGACATCACCACTCATAACGACACACCGTTGGCTCGGGGGAAGGCAGGACATCGGCACATAAAGACACACCATTGAATCGGGAGGGGGCGGGACATCGGCACATAACGGCCTCCCATTGGCTGAAAAGGGGGGCGTGGTACCTGTCAAAACGTTTGACAAAGGCGCCGCCTTGTACTTCTATTGGCTTCACAGAAAGCCTTTGATGGGGTTGAGACTCATCCTGTGATACCTGATCAGTATCTGCAGTTAATTAACATGATGCTTTGATCTTCAGATCTTCCTTGCTGAAGTTTGGGTTTCATAAGTAGGTGTAAAAATCAAACTGGACATTATATATAGGCCTACTGGGTGTATCTAGACTACAGTTCTGCCTTTGAATACAATGCCCTTTAGGACATGTACATTAATTTCAAATGGCAAACTAATGCTGAAATGTTAAGTGCTGTTTCTATTCCAAAAAGCAAGTCTTCTGAGAACTGAGTAATGTGTGCTACTATGGAAAACCAGACTTTTCTAGTTGTGCAATCTTACTTGGGAAGTGACCCTTTCTTTGTTAGTAATTCAGCCTTCTGGAAGCTGTGAGTTTCCTTAGCCTCCCTGGACAATCACAAAGGGAGATTTGTTTTGGCTTTTCAAAAACGGAGAAGTACAAATGTCAGGGTGGAGCATTTTCAAGTGGGAATTTCATCCACTGTGACTAGAAACAGTCCCTGAAATCTCTCATGACAACAGTTTGTGTTTTCTTTTTCTTTGGTAAATGTGTGAGTCAGGCATTTAGTCAACGTATGGAAAATACTACAGAGACTGCCTTCATAACCTTTGTCTGTATTTGATCTGCACCTGGGGCATTGATCTGTCATTCATCCCTTGTCTAAAGAGTAACACGGGCTTAAAACTTTGCCGCGGCTGGGAATCCTCGCTTGACTTGCAGTTTGCCAGCTGGCCTTTAGGAAACTGTTGCAGTTCAAGCTCTTTGTGAGTACAGTTTGATGCAAAGAGCCATGGCATGTCTAGGGTGAGGGATGGGATTGTGTTGTGGGTCAGATGCAGTACAAACCAGCTTCTGCAAACAGTCTGCCAGTTGGCACGCATGCCCATTTTTAATGGCTAGGGGAGAATGTTATCGGTGAAACGTCAAACATCACTGCCTCATAAAGCTCTGAATGGACTGCAGCTCATTAAGCAGCCACTGATACTGCTCCACTGGAGGAGCCTGGTCTGTGGTTAATAACTGCTCAGACTCAGGGTGAGTAACGCCTGGAGTGGCCTGAGCCAGATCAACTTCCCCATGAACAGTCATACACAGCCTTCTTCAGAAGTGGCTCGGGTAATCTCCCAGCTCCATGTTTTGATCATTTGAGGTTCTGCTTATGCCTATAAATACACCGCAGGAGAAAAAATGAATTAGTGCAATCACAGATGACCACTGAACCTTGCTTCGTGCGAAGGCTGGAGTTCCAGGTTTTTCTAACTTGGGTGTGGCATTATACTGTAGATGTCTCTC